TTTTTTTTTTTTTTTTTTTTTTACAAATCCATGTATAATAATTTAAGTACTTCCAGTTTTTACTTATTGCCATGACATATCTCTGTTTCTAACTGGAGGTGATTTATTTCTCGTATATTTTTCAAGGCAGAGCTCTGCTGACTGTTGTCCTGCTTTGAAAAACAGACGGATGTTAGTTCATCCATCTGCAAAATGCTGCCACACATTAAAGTCTAAAAACACTTGTCCTATTTTACACCTTTGCGAGGCTAAAAGAAAAAATGAGGCAGGATTTGCTGCAGCTCCACAGTTCCACAGATCAGAGGCGATCTTTTCTTTAATTAAAGGCAAGTAATAGAAAATATTCATGTATTTCTGGTTCTAATTCCATTTTCTTTATTTTATTTTAGTCCATTTCTAACTCGCGGTCACAGATTAATACCTGGGGATGAGGAGTTCTATCAGCGAACCACAGTTTCCTTCATAAAGAAGGAGGACGACAGTGGGATCCAGATCCACAGCTACAGTCCAACAGGCTTTAACATTGATGGCCATGAGGTGTTTGGGCCCTGCGCTTTGTTGCTTCCTGGCATTCTGCAGTGGAATGTGAGACCAATATTCAAATGATCCCCACAGCTTTTAGCTTGCAAGATTTCATTTGATAAGACAAGTAATTGTTGTAAATTTCTTTTGTTTTTCAGGTTGGTAGTTATAAAGACATAACAGAAGAAAGTGTTTCCCTTTTCCACTTGATTGAACCAAGATATGGTAAAAATAAATGCACACTAATATAAAGAAGAGAATAGAATTCAAAACTTTTCTTCCTTTTATTTGAGCTATTTAGACAATGTAACATAAATAAATGATTCGGGTCAATCAGCAAATAAAGATCAGCTGATTTGCACTGAAGCATTTTGACCAAGCTGAAGTTTTGAGGGAGGCTACGGAGAGGTTTGGTGTGACAGACGAGGATGTTACGACCGGGTGAGATGGAGGCAAATGATCTGCTGAGGCGACTCCTAAAGAAAGCTATGGAGACCCTCAGGGGTCATGTGTAAAAATAAAATTTGAAGTCACAGGAATCTCTCTCTCTCAGTTTAGTAACTTGTATGCACAGATTTACAATAACACTGGTGTCTGTATGCAGCAGGTGTTGTGCCTTGTTTTGTTTCCAGTGTGAACAGGGAATAGATGAAAACACAACATCAGAAATGAGACGAAGGTTTAGGGGCTGTCGACAAATTGCAAAATGAGGCTGTAATATTAAACAAAATAAACAGAATTTTCTGTTGTTTCATCTAAATTATTCGACATTCAAGAATCAGACACTGAGAACTTAATGCCATTTCAACAGTTTGATTAGAAACATGTGTCTGTAAAGATTTGGGAAATCGTAATTCTCATGATATTTTATTGATAGTCCCTAAGCACTCATCCAGGCATGTCACGATAAACAATAAATCAATTAATCGCATGATTAATTAAAATGATCTACCTCATTTTCATTTATTGGCTTTATCATTTCTTCGTGTCTCTCTTTCTACTGAAGACACTGGATGATAAAAAGTTCATCTCCGGTGCTCTTCACTGACCCCTCCCTGTCTCTTTTCTCTTTGAAATCATTTTAACCGTCCAACATTGTGTTTTTGGATCTTTAAATGCAGCTAAGCTACGAGCTTATCTAACAGGCTGACCTCGGGAAAAAAAACCTCTGTCTTGTGAAAGCACCATAATTCACGGTTGAAACTCGTGCCTTCGTGCAAAAAGTTGTTTTTCTCTGCAAAAAGAAGCTGAGAACTTGTTTACTGTTTTTTTTTTTTTAATTAAAAGCTTTCCTAAAAACAAATGCTATGCTAAAGAGCTCAAACTACACCGAGCGTCCGCCATTTTGAGAACTGATAAAAAGGAATGAGAGACAGCCCATGTCACATCAAGGGGCCTCCCTCCCATTTTTTTTAAAGAGACACGCTGCTGTCTACCTCACTAGCCGTCCTTCGGTTCAAACAGTCTTATACTGCCATCAGGTGGTTGAAAAAAGGTACTACTTCAAAAACAATTAACCAACATTTCTTCTTAAATTTGACAACAATTACTAATTATTGTCAAATTTCAAACAATAGTATCGTTTATCACAATAATTTCTGAGACAATTAATCGCCCAGCAAAATTTGTTATCGTGACAGGCCTAGACAGCATAATATGAACTCTTTGAAAGAAAATCCATCAAAAAAGACTCAGCTTTATTGTTGACTTGATCTAAAAAATGTGAAAAAAGACGATTGTTGTAAAATCTTTCTGATTTGGTAAACCAAAAATGTTACAGTAGTTTAATAATGAGAGAAGTTTTGTTCTCTGTGTGTACAAATTTTAATTCTTCAAGCAGCATATTTAAAAAGCAACATTTCCTCATTCTTTTTTCTCTGCTTGCTTTTGATTTGATTTGATTTTTTTTGGGTGTGTGTGTGTTTTTGAAGAGATTCTTGTGCTGGGAACTGGAGCTCAGATCGAACAAGTTAACCCCTCGGTTGTTGCGTTTTTGAGGCGTAAAGGCATCGCTGTGGAGGTGCTGGACACAGTAAGTTTTGCTCAGTTAGAGAAACACCTTAATGAAGAATTTATAACCTGATCTGAATTGTCTGAACTCTTTTGCAGCCGAACGCCTGTGGAACTTTCAACTTTTTGAACACTGAGCACAGATTGGTCGCCGCTGGTCTGATTCCTCCGATTCCTCCCTCTCTGACCTCATCACTGGACATTAAATTTAAATAAATGGGATGTTGGTGATAACATGAGACTTGTACAAAAAGCTTCCAAAGAGTCTGAGCAAATATATCCAGCTTTAGTTCTTACAGTGACTTGGATGTGTTTTTGAAGCAGCATCGTCACCCGATGAGCCGAAACAATGGCTCGTTATCACTAAGCACCTGCTTGAGGCGATTCTTAAATGTTAAACAAGTTTAGTTGCATTTCTTTGTGTTTTGTTTCTATAAAATGTTCATGAGATGTTTGAACATTCAGCGTTTGAGCAGAAAAACGTTCCACGTTCAGAGAAGCGAACGCAGCCGTCTGCCTAAAACGAACAGATGCTGTGAGGAAATCTTGAAGTGAAGATCACTGATGATGTCATAACGCAAGACCATATTCTTCTGTTTAAATGTTGTTGTTTTTTTTTAAAAGAATTATACTGTGTTTAGTGAATACATAGTTTATTGTGTTCTTGAAACTAGTATAAATTCATTTCCAAGCCTACTCAGCATTCTGTTTGTCATTTTACATCTGCACGGGAGCAGTTAAAACATCTGTTATGTACATAGGTTTTATTCAGTACTAAGAAAAAAAGTTTTATTTCACCTTTATTTTTATTATATTTTGATTTTAAGGAGCAAGACTTCCTTGTAATCTTTTAAAGTGATTTTTTTTTAGCTGCTTTTTCACTCATTTTCTGTCCTAGTCTGACCATGATATAAGGTCAAAAGAGCAGCACGATGGATTAGTGGTTTAGCACTGTTGCCTCACAGCAAGAGGGTCCTGGGTTCAATCCCCAGTTTGGACCTGGGGTCTTTCTGTGTTGTCCATGTTCTTGTGCTTGCATGGGTTTTTTCCAAGTACTCCTCCCACAGTCCAAATCATGCATGCTAGGCTGCCTTCAGGCCTTCCTTGCAAAGGAGATCATGATCTCAGAGGGATTTACCTGGTTAATAAAGGTCGATAAATCAAACTAAAATATTGTGCAGTGTATGTCTAAAGTGATGAGAAGAGAGGAAAAAAAAAGTCAGACCAAAAACTACAGAAGGTGAGCAGAATTATTTGAAAGTCACAACTTTATGAAAAAAGATACAAACACCAACAAAAGACCTGATTATAATAACCTGCATTTTACAACAACCAGGCTTCGTATGCAGTCTGGAAAAGTGTCAAAGGTTTTAGTGTTTTCCACGTTTCCGTACTTTGTGCCTTTTTTAAATATTCAAAACTATAAAATTGCTCAGACAAGTAGAGCTTTATTTTTTCTACATTATTTGTATATAAAATGTGGACGTAGTCAGAGAGATGTTCACTTCTGTTTTCATCTACCTCACCTTGAGAATAAGGTTTTGTCCATCAGTATCCACAGATGAGCAACATATGTGAAGCTTTTTCATTTTACTATGTTTTTAAACTGTATGATAATAAAGCACATCTCTATGAAGTGATATTCTTCAGCCGATCATCTGCTGGAAAACTAGTCACATATAACAAAAAACGTCTGTTTGGAAGCACAATATAAAGAAATGAGGCGTGACTGTCAGTGTAAACATGTCCAGCCAGTTGTGGGGTGAGGTGGTGTTTGTGGTGCCTGTCCTTCATCGGGATAATCCTCTTTTCCAGAATATCTGCCTCAGACAGGTTGCCTGTGCAGCACATGATATAATGTCCTTCTCACACTTAAGCCCCATTGAGTGGAGAATCCTCAAATCCTCTGCACATTAGTGTGATCCATTTAATCATCTGCCTCAGTGCGACGTGTTCACAGTCTGAGCGTTTCAACACACGTCACTCGCACGAGCTTCATCACGTTTACCTGCTGCAGCTAAAACAGCTCCACGTCGATGTGTTCTGACTCAAATCAACCAAAGTTAAATAGGGATGCATGATATTGGATTTTTTGGCCAATATGTCAATATATCAAAACTTATTTGGCTGATACCAATACCAATTCTTTTTCCTTCCTAGACCTACTTACAGAAACTACATAATTTCTCTACTGTGTAATTGAAATACTACATTATTCTGCATGGTCTTAAGATGGATGGATGGATTGCTGGTGAGGTTTTTGTTTCTCCGTGGTGGACCGCACTCTCGCTTTCCTCATGGCCACCATGAGCTCATCGTAAGGTCAGAATGGTGGTTCTTGAGATGGTTAATAAGGTTTGAAGTGTTGTAGGACTTCGTTTTCACTCCTCCGTACATCACTGACGCTGAGCAGTCATTCCAAATAGCACCTTTATATACAGTATATATATATAATTAATTGTTAATTGTTAATTGTTCTCTCTTTTCTCTTCTTGATTTTTACATATTCTCGGGTTCTACTAAAATGTTACAATAAAAAAAAGCACGTAAGAACTCTTGTATACAGCAAACCCCATTGCTGATTGACCCAACACACAGCTTTTTGACAATGAATTTAAAACTTTTCAGTTACTTGAAGCCATGTTGTTTTGCAAATGTTCCCAAATATTAGAAATTGTGGAAAACATGAGGAAAAAATAGGAACTGTCAAACATTTAACGCGTGCACTACATGCCACACCCTCTGCTTTCCAGCTGTGGTTTCTTCAAAGTATCTGTCGGATCACGTGGTCCTGATGTGAAGAGCTTCAGTCGTTTTCAGAACTGCGAGACGTTTGTCGAGACCTGACGAAGCTGAGCTCCGCTCCCGTGAGTCGATGGTACATGTCTTTGATGTCCTCGCACTCCCTCTCACAGTGGTCCGTTGCATCGTAAGAACGGGACACAAAGATCTAATCAGCAGAGAGGAGACGGAGAAAATAATTACTGCTCGGCCCACCACACTCCATCTTGTTTCTTTTAGTTGGAACAGGTGGATCTCATTACCTGACTCTGTCTGCCATCCTCATTGGGAACCAGCAGGTTGGTGATGGACACAAATCTTAAGAGGCACAAGAAATGACATCATTTTAATGCGGTGTTAAAATAGCTTAAAACAGGTGAGATGAGAGACTTGATTTTGCTTCTAACTTTTGCACGATGGGTTCGAGAAGCTCCAGTCCCGGCTGCACCTCTTTCTCTGGGGTTCCGGTCTCTACTGTCGTGCTCACTGTGGCGATATACATCCCATCCGAGGCCACACCGTGACTGTAGGATACTACGGATATATAAATGTCTGCATGGACAAACAGAAAGGGGACACGCAGAGGTATTATTTCAGAGTTACTTCAGTGATAGCCCAACGCTTCGACTGGCGATGTACCTGACTTCCTGTTGAGCTGTGTTTGAGGGATGATGATCTGACAGGAGCTGGCCTCCTGAGTGTTTCTAACTGGATGATTTAACAAGCAAATCACTCGTATGACTCGCCCCATCTTCCTAACTCGGTTGGGAACATAGCTGGGATCGCAGATTAACTGTTTACAGTGAAAAAGCTGGGAAATCAAGAAGAAACAATCGTTCAGCACACCTGAGCTCTATTGGTCACTTACGCTACAACTCTATTAAGCTCTTTCATCTGCGTCACCTTTCCCTCAGATCTGACAGCTTGCACTTTGCCGTTGTCCATCACAATCTCCTCCACCGCCCTGTTCAGCAGGAAGGTTCCTCCATACTCTGCACTCAGTCTGAAACATGCGTGAAAGAGATTTAATGGAAAGCATGAGTCAAACGTGGCAAAGAAGTACATGAACAAACTGCGACAGCATTTTAGGAATGCAACAAGACCATAACTTCAAGACAGATTTTGTCTGGCTTTATTTTAAAAATCAACGTTTAGAGGCTGAAAAACACCGAAGGAGAAGTGCAGCCCAAATTATTTCCAGAGATCACTCAGAGATAAATTGTTTTGTTCATTTGCATGAAACGGATGGTGGCACAGAGGTTAGAGAAGGTGGGCCTGTGATTGGAAGGTTGTCAGTTCAACTCCCCGGACCGACAACATCATAATGTAGGTGGGAAATGTGAAGCACCCACACCTGCCTCCACTGTCATTCGCCCCACTCTGGGCCCTTGAGCAAGGCCTTTAACCCCCACCATCTGCTCCCCTGGGCGCCTTAGACAGCAGCTCTCTGCCCCACACAGAGGGCTGTGGTAGCTCGGTGGTTGTGTAAAATCAGTTGCCAAATCTTCATGCAAATTAGTTGGTTAAATGTGCATGAAACAGATCATCAGTGAGTTACTGATGGGGAGTCTCACCTGGCAAATCCCTGCGGTAGTTCCCCAAGCCCATACAGGGGGTACAGGTACGGACTGGACTGGTGACGAGACAAAGACTCGGAGTACAACCTGATCCGGTTCAGGGTTTCCAAACAGGGCTGGTCCAGGTAACTAAAGTAGACGGCAGGGAGAACGGTCAGAACCTCAGAGATGACTTGTTTGTGACTTTCTGTAGCTCTTAACTGACCTCTCACTAGAGTGCAAGGCTATGGCATGACCTGTGAACTCTATGACATCCTGTCCCAGGTCGAAGCGGCTGAACAGCTCCCGGGTGGTGGTTTCGTTGGGGTCCACGTCCTGGTGGGTGCGGGAGTTTCTAGTGTCAAAGTTCAGAGCGAAGTGCAGCAGCTTCTTGAACCTCCTCTTGTCAAACATGCCCATCAGATCTGAAAACGTCATTTACTGTCACGTGTTGAATGTCTACCTGGAGAACTGTCTTCAAAAGTGGAAAAGGACTTTGTCACCTGAACCATGAACGTCGTCCTCTGTGGCCGGGACTTTATGAACTTTCCCTGATTTGTAAACAAAACTGCCTTCGACAACTTTGAAGTCCAGATATCGGGTAACCTCGGTGAGCAGCAGTATTTTTACCAGCTGACCTGAAGCAAACGTACAGCAGGCGATTACCGATCTATACTCAAAGAATAAGCGAAGCGTTGAACAGTTAATTCAGTAATATGTGCTGCAGTGCTCACCAGAAGCAAGAAAAAACTTGGGGACGAGGTCCAAGTTCCACTCCTTCCCACGACCCATTGATATAGGAGGACCTGGAACTTTAAACTTCCTGTACAGCTGCAAAGAAATTAAACACAACTTACCAACAATGTGTAAGAAGATACGCAAATGTTAATGTGTTTTTGTTTGAACGCACCTCCTCCAGAGGGGAAATAGACACACTTTCACCTCTATGATAAGGATTTTTGTCAATGTGAAGGACCTTTTTCCCACTAAGAGACATTAAACCGGAGAGGACACATTCCTGAAAGGGACGGGATGAAAGTTAGGATTAAGTGTTTGTTGGAATCAGTAGATATCAGTTAATCTATAGGCAGATGGTCATTAATCTCTTCTAACAGCCAGCAGGAGCTCAGTGGGTCTACAACCCAACAATCCATACATGTGAGAAAAACATAAAATAATTTATATCAAAAGACAAACTTAACAATTAACTTTTATATCAACAGTTATTTTAATGAAGGAAGAATTTAAAAAACATATTTATACTGACCGGTGCAAAAGTTTGCAACTGAGTCTTCAAGATATATTTGAGCTTGATAAGTTTTAATATTTTTATTTTAGAGTGTCATGTTACAGAAAAGCAAAGCTTTTATCATTTGTTGTTTATACACCTCATATATGAGTTATTCTGATAATGAGTTTTTTTTTTCTTGTTGATGTGTTTGTATTTTATTTTAACTTTCTTGTGTTTTCTTAGTGACACAAGATCTCTTGTATTTCTTTGTTCTTATTGTCATTTTACATTTGAATTTGACAAAATTGTTAAGAACTTTGGTCAACTTTTGCTGTTTTTTTTTTGTACTATGTTAATAAACTGACATTGACATTCCCACTTCACAATAAAATGCATCTCAGTTCATCAGCCTCAAACTTTCTGTGACCCTTATATCTGCCAAGTACTGGAGGTGTCTACATAAATCTACAGTAATTTTTTGTGAGGTATGGTAACTTTTTCATGTCAGGAATCACGTTTTCTTACCTTCAGCCCGGTCCCGAGCACTATAATATCATACTCCTGCATCCCAGCTATGGTTCAATGTTTTTCTCTCTGATCACTGAGTCCTGGTACTTTACCTGAATGCAGTCGAAGGAATACGTGTGTGAAGAACCATGTCTGATGATGGTAGGTGACAGTATCGGCTATGTGTTCTCATTTGCAATAATCCTCTTATGATGGGCACATGCATTTTGTGTGTGTGTGCATGTGTGTGTGTGTGTGTTCACCAACTGCACATCAACTATTCAATGGAAGTTGTCATCAGTTATGGTGGATACAAACGTGTATTTTATTTTGTTTTACAAAACATATAAACTTTCATTTACAAATAAGACTTCCAGTCTCCACAATTCTTGGGAAAGTGCACAGTTACTTTACCCATAAAAATGTAATTAATTCAATTAAATGTATTAAAAGTACAAAAAGGGAGCACTGCAGTATTTTCTATTTACACTGAAATATTTCCATCATCTGGTACTTGACCCTCTCAAGAGAATCTTCTTAGCTTTAGTTGTAAACAACAGAGACTTTCCCACTGACTGGCAACATTTTTTATTATTATTTACCTTATGTTATTTTATTTTTTTATTTAGAAGATTAGTACATGACAGAATAGTTAAAGATGAAATGTTTCAATGAATTAACCAGTAAATATTTCAAACATGACAAGAGTTTCTGATAATTCTTTCTTTGGTGGAGGTTGCAAATCTCTAAAAAAAACATGTCAAACATGCAACTAATTAAATATTTTTGCAATGTAGCCTTGTGTAACAGTACATTTTGTAAGAATGTTAAAATATTTTAAAACCTATTAAAACTATAATAAACTATAATAAAAGCTGTACCTACTTTTGTATGAAAACACACAGCTGTTGTTTTTTTGCCCGTTTCAACAAAGACTACATTACCCATGATTCCTGAAGACCGGGTTATGTGTATGTTTGGCGTCAGTTGTGTTCGCATTTTTTTCCAAGACACTTCAGCGGATCGGTGCAAAGAACTTTGAACGATAAATTGGTGACTCCGCCTTCCCGAATGTGTTTCGGAACACTCCGTGAAATAAAATCAAGCTAACCTTTTCAAAAGGCGATTGTGTCGGTTTGCTAGCATCTTCTTTTCTGTTCGAGTTGATCAAGTCAAGGAAATGTCTTCAGAACAAACAGTGAGTGGCACAAATCTAATTTAATTTGATAAACTGCACGTGTTGTTTGTATCCAGCATGCACTAAATTACAGTTTTAACCCTTTAACTGCCGCCCCCGCCTTATCTCAGTTTTCATTGAAAACGTTTTATCTAGTTTAGTCTGTACATAACAGGTTAACAGCTAAAGTAAGAATACTGGCAACAATAATTTACAATACCAAGTCGTATCTACTTTTTATAGTTTCTATAAGACAGTAAATGTAGGAAGTAAAGAAGATTTGCAAGTTGTTCACGCCCAGTTCAACAAAATACACTCCTTCCTAGTTGTGTTAAATTCAACTTAACTTTATCCAGGAAGAGAAAAAACTGCATTAAACGTTATATTGAGCTGGCAATTTGAGTGGGTTATTTAGTGACTGACAAAAGTTGTAAAACTTGATAATAAAAACATTAAACAGTTCATCATGTTTGTTGTCTTGCCTTTAGTCATGTTTGTGCTTTCATAGGTCATAATTTACAGGGCCACTACTGGCACTTGTTTCCCTACTAAAGCAAATGTTATTTTATTAGACTAATACATTTATTACAATGCTAATGAGCATGTGGTTGGTGTGGGCATTCATCTGTCCCTGTTTATCTGTTAGTTTTCAGGTCAGGACCAACACAAGCGTGTGACGGTGAAGTCCAACCCTGGATTCCTGGAGCGAATTGGTCAAACTGCAGGAGGAACAGTTGTTGGCATTGGGCTGTTTTTCCTCTCGTTTTATGTTCTCTTCACCAATGAGGTGAGCACAGATCGCTTTCAAATGACTCCAGTCAAAGATGTAACACGTGCTGATTGTGTGCTTGTCAGATTAGTAATGTAGGAGCTGAATAAGAAGAAGCCCTATCTCTGCTTCTGTTTTTCTTTTCAGGGACGAGCTCTGCAAACAGCATCGTCTTTGGATGAAGGGCTCTCTCAGGTTGTATCGCTGGTGTCTTATTCCAGCCTCGACCTGCAGAACAACAACCGTTTAGTTCATCTGTCTGCTCAGCTGCACACTCTGCAGGTAGGCTGTCCACCATAGCTGTTTAAACACTACTCATTCAACAAAGTCCATGCTCAATAATCCATTCCAACAATTTTCACTCAGGTCATCTGGACAGTTTCTCTTTTTTTTTTTTGTGCTGAAACGTTTCACCTTCCATCCAGAAGGCTTCATCAGTCAATGAAACACAAAACTGATTCTTCCCCAAACAGCTTACTCCAATGTGGAACAAACCAGTTATGTTGGTGCTAAGATGGTCTCTTTGGCACTCCCCCTCCTCCAGTGCCGGCCCTCTTCCTCGTCGACAGTCATGTCAAACTGGTTCAAAATCAACAAAGTCCATGCTCAATAATCTACTCATTCAATTGTGTCTGTCCTGGTCAAATTAGTCATGGATTAGTTGCCATGTAGCAGCAGGTTTTACAGGTTTTAAAAGCTTTATGGGAGAGTTGCAAAAAGAAAGCCAGTGTCAAAGAAAATTCAAATCTTAGTCTCTAAAGTCTAAACAATCTAGAGAAATTCTAGTTGAGATTTAGTGATTTTTTTTCCAGACATGGCTTTCTTGTTACCACACTCCCATAAAGTTTGACTGGTGAAAGACCTTGGCAACAGTTGTTGTAAGCTCAGTCTCCCCCATCTTTCCTGCTGAAGCTTGTAACTCCTTCAGTGGTCACAAGTGTCTTGGAGGCGTCTCTTCCTATTCTTCTTCTTGCACTCAATTTGTGAGGGCAGCCTGCTCTTAGTAGATCTACACATTTCCCGTATTCCAGTTCTTGATGATAGATTTAACAGATCTCCTGCTGAGGTTTAGGACCTATGTTTCAATAATCTTTTCTCTGAGCTGAATTAGGGCAGTCACTTTATGTTTATAGGCACCGTATGTTGTGTGGGCCCATTCTATAGAAGCACACATTCAATTCAATTCAAAAATACTTTATTAATCCCAGAGGGAAAATAAATGTTGTTGTAACTCATCATCCTGGTTTCATTAAAGAGTTGTTCTAGATGCTGATGGCTGTGGGCAGGAAGGATCTCTTGTAGTGGTCTGTCTTACAGCGGATCTGAAGAAGCCTCTGACTGAAGACACTCTGTTGCTGTATGACAGTCTGATGAAGAGGATGCTGAGGGTTGTCTCTAATCTTCATTTTATGAAGAATCCTTCTTTGTACAGTCATCTCCAAAGGTTCTAGAGTCCCCAGAACTGAGCCAGCCTTCTTTATGAGCTTGTTGATCTTTTTTAAGTCACTTGCTCTGGTGCTGCTGCCCCAGCAGATGATGGCAGAAGAGATGATGCTCTCTACAACTGACTTCTAGAAGATATGCAGCATCTTGCTGCAAACGTTGAAGGACTTCAGCTTCCTCAAGAAGTACAGTCTGCTCTGTCCCTTCTTGTAGACGGCTTCCCCGTTACATTTCCTGTCCAGTCTGTTGTCCAGGTGAACCCCAAGGTATTTATACTTCACCACCTCCACTTCTTCTCCCATGATGGAAATAGGGTTGGACCTGTTCCTGTTTCTCCTGAAATCTACAATCATCTCTTTTGTTTTTTTCACATTCAAGATGAGATGATTGTTTCCACACCATGCCACAAAGTGGTCCACCAGTTCCCTGGACTCAGCTCTGATACACCTGACCACCACAGAGTCATCTGAAGATTTCTGCAGAAATGGATGAAAACCTTACTGTTGACAGCATTATAAAGATTTCAGAGCACACTGGGCTTTGCGGCATGCTGTGTATGAGGCACTTGGGACCTGTGTGGGTTGTACCCTGCTTTTTGCACAATGACCGCTGGAGCTGAGCACCAGCTCCCCTTTGATCCAATATGATGTGTGCCCATCAAAGAAAGGGGCTACAATGAGCAGGAAAACACCAAGACTGGACTAAAGAAAAGGAGTTGATCTTTTCTTTTCTGTCATGGGGTTGTGAGGTGTATGCATGTTGTGTGTTGTTAGGTTGGGTGAGAAATGGCAGCTAGCTGCACTGTGGGCTGATGCTCTCATCACTGGGATACTTGAAGTTCTGGATGTCACTTAGACACCTAATGTCTAACTAAGCACTGTTGCTGGCAACACAACCCCTTCTGCTTTAAATAATATGACTCAGATCTTGGTGCGGCCTCCAGATTGCACAGATTTGCATCAGATCAAGTTTTTGTGGAATGAGCTACTTTACATCTCACTCTGGTTCTTGATATGACCAATATGGCTTATTGCCCTGGGGGGCATTTTATACAGTGCAGCACAAGCACTCTGAAAAAAATGTGTAATTTGTGTCCAGAACAAGTTTTCCATAGCTTGTTTGCGATGTCCCTTCTTCCTAAATAAACATATTTTCATCAGCAACTAGTCTGTGAACAATGTGATTTAAACAACTGGAGATGAATGTCCAGTTTAAGTATTTTTATTTGAATGTTTGTTTTGTCCTTGCTTTTCAAATCCAAATGCATCTTCAGCAAAGTGTTAAATATTTTGGTGATATTTATATTTTTACAATGATCATACGCTGGTTTCATTGTTTTTCTGTCAGTGTTTTTTTTTTTTGGGGGGGGGGGGGGGGGAGTTTTTGTATTGCCTTACGTCATACAGTATATTTTATTAAAATCAGCTGAATCTAACACAGATTACTGGTATTTATTCTCATGCTTATCTGTGTCTGCACAGCCCCTACATGACCCCAACTACAAAGTGGTGGTGCAGGCGGTGAAGCTGAGGAGGCAGGTGGAGATGTATCAGTGGGTGGAGTATCGCGAGAGCAAGTCAGTCTGCCGTTTTAAAAATGGTTGTTTGACGCAGCAAAACTGAACCAAAGATAAAGCGAGTTGACTTTAAACTCATTTCAGGGACTATAAGGAGAATGGTGAAACCAAGACGGAGACGACCTACACCTACAGTGAGTTGCTTTTGGAGCAACACGTAGTTTTTAGTATCAACATGATCTAAAAACTGATTTAGCGTGACCATCTTTTTTTTTTTTAGACACTGAGTGGAAATCAGAGTTGGTGAACAGCCGTAACTTTGACAAGGAAATCGGTCACCAGAACCCAAGGTAGGAACATGTTTTGAAGATCTGTCTCGTTCTTTCTTTTCTGCCGTATATTTTTAACCTCCCTCTTTGTCTTTTAGCGCCATGCCAGTTGAAAGCGTGACGGTGGTGTCTCCTGAAGTTCAAGTTGGACCTTTCATCCTGTCCAAAGGTATTTATTATGTCTTCAAATAAACACAGATGCTAAGTTTAGATCTGACTCTTCAGTTCCTTCAGTCATTTTGTTGCTCATCTTCAGGCCTGGTGGAACAGATCAGCACCTTCCAGACTCTGAGTCTGAGGGATTACCCAGTCTTTAATCTGGACCCTTTTCTCTCCATTCATGATGATTATTTCTATCACACTCAGTTTCCAAACAGGCCACAGGTAAGCATCAACAGTTTACTTTTTTTTATTTATTAATTTTTGATCTTTTATATCAATCCACTCGTTAAAACTTGTTTAATTATGTTCGGTGTGTGTGTCTCATTTATATTTCATTAGGTTGGAGATGTGCGTGTGAGATTCTCCTTCGCTGGACTGAGCGGTGAAAAGTCTCCCCTTGGGCCGCCTCAAATTGTAGGTGCTCCCGATGATATTTTCCAATAATCCTACAATACTCAAAATTACATTAATTTTTTTAATCTTCATCCCATAGGCCTATTTGTGTCTATTAAAAAAGTTACTAGGAATACTGTTTTTCTGAGTGATGTTGAAGAATTTGTGGCCTGACGTTGATCTAGGTACGCTCAGTGATGGGGGGACGAGGGGTGATTATTATTTTGATCTTGAAATGATGCGACTATGCCGTGGCCTTCAGTAATCCGATTACATTTTACCTAAAAACTATAAGAGTCTGTGGACATACTTGATAGACGAAAAACTCTCTTGCAGGTTTTCAAACATTAAATAATGTTCATCTTTAGGAAGAATCGTGTTCAGAAAATGAAAACTTCTGGTGTCACGAGATGGCTAAAGGCTGTCAAATGTTTTTTTTTCTCTATTTAGTTTGCACTCAGCGTTTCCCCCAAAACTCTACAGGCTCGTGTGTTCACGAGGACAAAAGAAAAGATTTGACACTGTAAATCCAACATGAAACCAGAGATAATTAACATTTTAGAGCTTCTGTGCTTCTTCAGACCCAAACAAGCATCACTGCTTGGAAACTAAATGGTGCGAGAGTGATTTAGTCCAGGTTTGTTTTCATCTCTGCAGGGTAAATGAGAAGTCCAGAAGTCAAACAGTTTGAACAACAAATTAATTTGCATATTTTATACTGCCCTGATATCCCAGTTTTATATATAAATCACTCCATCTGTGCCTTTTTACTGCCCCCTTTACAAATACTTTTGTTTCTAATGATCAGAGTCAGTACTAACTAGGATTGTTTAATAATATATAAAGATAAAACTCTAATTTAAGTGTCCCAGCGATAAGATCAAATTAAAAGCCTTCCTGCATTTTGACGTTTTGTCAAACGTTTTCGTATAAAATTTTGAATAATGGTAATTTTGTGTGTAGTAGCTGCACAAAACACATATACATGTACAGTTTTTATTATATTGCATATTTGTACATTATATTTTATTGTTAACATTTATGGAATTAAATAAGATGTCATTAAGTAGTGGACATCCATAATTTCATTAAGTTTAAATCACTACTTTTGACTGAGACGCAGCTTAAAATATTAATGTTTACTTACATAAATAAAAATCATGAAGCTGTTTATTCTCTCGGTGGCAAAGCATGAACTAATGTGAACACAAACAACTGACAAATAGTTTTCCTGTTGTTTTAACATAAATAAATAGGGGAACTGATTGTATCCATTTGTCCAAGTAACAAGTGCGGATGCTTGATTTTTAGATGCAATTAAAACCCGCTGAGTGTTTTTTCAGGTTAGTATTGTAGCCATGCAAAGAGGAGAGCAGCTGATGGCCTTTAAAACCAAGTCGGGAGATGTCCTGGAGATCCTGTACCTGGAGGAACTCACTGCAGAGGTAACTGTGGAGCTCGACTTCGAAACATTGAAACAGTTTTGAGATTTCACACATCTGATTCATTATTATTTTGCATGTTTGTTTTTGTTTCATGTGCAGGAAGTGTTTGAAAGGGAACATCGGTACAACCATATGAAGACGTGGGGGCTCAGAGCTGCAGGCTGGGCCCTCATGTTCATTAGCATTCAGCTGACGACACGCATCCTCTACACGCTGGGTAAAGTAACGCTCACTGTGGGTTTACAGCCACTTTGATCACTGTCTGCATCTTACGCTCTTTGTCATGTTCCTGCAGTGGATTGGGTTCCTCTCCTCAGGGAGCTCGTGTCCTTCGGCCTGATGATCTTCGCTCTCTGCCTCTCCTGCTCGCTGTCTCTCCTCGTCGTCGGGATAGGTTGGCTTTTTTACCGTCCGTTAGTGGCGCTAGCTCTGGGAGCACTAGCTCTGCTCCCAGTGTTTTTGGTCCGCTCGGGTCTTCAGCCAAAGAAGAACGAATGACTCAATAGAAGATTCAAAGGATTTTCTACAACCTAGCTGTAACCGTCCATCGAAGGTGCGATGCAACGCTCCGACAGCGATACAAACTGTGTGGGACTTGTTTACTTTGACCAAGTGATGTGTGTTATATTTAAAATAATGCATGAAAACCAAAATCCCTTATCCCTTATGTACAAAAAGAAAAGTTTGATAGAATGAGCAGCTTTTTGATGCTTTATAAATCACCTGATGTGGCCTTTCAAGCCTAGTCCTCACTCTTCCTACATACGTCTGCTCACAGTGAGCTGTTCTTTTGTTTTTACTGTAAATAAAACTGTTTTCTTCCTGGGCGGTGAATGTGGCTTTACCGTTTTCAAACAAACAAAAATCAAAACATAAAGCTAGCAATAAACAGAGTGTTTTAAATTATTGCTCGTTTTAAGACAAATCAGTTTCTTCTGTTTTATTTTATCATTCTGGCATAAATTTAGTTATAAGTGGTTTGAACAAGTTTAAACTTATTTTATGCTGTTTTCATAACCATAGGTTTATGGGATTAAAGGAAAGTGGACTTGATTTAATTTGTAATTTCTTCTGTGAGGCTTTTTAAAATCGTGATCAGGCGGGAGCTTCAGTCGGCCACTAATTTTATTTTAGCCTGGACGTCCCTGAGCTCAGAAAAGGTTGAGTCCTGCTTGTACAAGGCGTCCATCCTGAACGCCCGGATCAACTCCTGCTCCTCCTCTTGGGAGACTTTTAGTGTGACAAACCGGAGGGAGAGGCTTCTATGCTTCCAGCACATAGCTTTGTTTTCCGGTGAAACTGCTTAATTTAAAACCTGCAGAGAAATGCTCAAAACTAACAAAACTCTTTGGGCCCCCAAAATCTTGCTCGTCTCCAGTTATTGTCTCAGGTTGGTTGAGCTTCAGGCTTGGCTGAATGGGACCTCCCTCCTTGCCTCCACTTGGAGATCTGCTGGACAATGGGCTGCAGAGACCAGAGAGCCTGCAGCTGTTGACTCATGCGTGGCTGCATCAACCATGGTATGCCCAGAGAGCCGTCATATTACTCAGAGGCCTCGTTTTGGCTGCTGCCTCCAGATAAAACTTAAGCACAGTTTGATTTCCTCCTCATATTTTCATATGAATTTTGAGCCCCATGGTGTAATTTACAGCAGCCTCACTGAGATCACCCTTTCCAGGAAAGTTTCCAAATAGGCCTCTTCTCTGAGAGTTGACCACAGAACAGGATTACCTTCTGAAGTTGTAGTGGAGTGAGATTCTATTTCAGAAAATGTCAGTAGGTAGCCAGTGGAAATATTTACAACTTGTACATAAGGAGTGTACAAATACCATAGTTTGCCATGAAGCCTGCATATAGTTGCATGTTTTGTGTTCAACACTTAGAAATGTATATTTACAGATTAGCTCATTTGAAAATAGTTCACACGTTGAATGTAATGATTTAGTTTTGAGATATTAAAACTACCTCCAACATACCTGTAGGTTCTCTGTTTAATTGTAAATATATATTTTCTTTACATGTGAATGCTTTGAAGTGAAAACACTATTATGTTTATAATAAAAATAGATTAAATCAGAGACACCAGTTTGTCCACCAGGGAGCACTGACAAGTTTATTTTTCAAATGAAAACATCCTGATTAACACAGAACTGCTTTTTGAAAAACTAGTTTAAGGGCTTTTTGTATATTTTTCTTCAAACAATGCATCATCCATCAGGTCCCATTAACAACACCTGAAGAGTGGCTCGTATTAATCTGTAATGCCCACCATGTATCCTAAGTGCACTTGATTTTGCACTATGGCTGAGCCAGGACGCTGACCGTCTCTGAAATGCATAATGCAAAAAGACCTTAAACTGGCCACCCATGCTAAATTTGAACCATAAAAACAATCCTGCTGGGAGCCTGCATTTGCTTTAGTTTCATATTTGCGCTGTACAACTCAATGGTCGTCATTCAGTGTTTCCCAGTCAAGTGAAGCAAATTTTTACTATTCCTTACAAAGTAATTTAATACACAAAACACTTGTTTTAGTAAAATAAGTTTCCAGTCTTGTGTGTGTCATCATAATGCACATAAAATAGTTTGTTTACACACATATACGAGGCACACACAGGTTTAATCTTAATGTGTGCATCAGTTTGTGGGGATATTTAAAGGACTAGAGGTCACAGTGTGCAGGTACTTCACCCTAGTTGGCTGTGAACACATTCCTCAGATCAGCAGGCAGGGCTTAAGCACTTACTGTAGTTGGCAAGTCTGACACAACAGGTCCCCTGGCTGACCTTTTCAGTTACATACATGTTAAAGGAGGTTTCCTTATGGCAAATTTTTACTCATGTTAAAAGTACAAAAAAGTATTTCCATAACCTCATAGTTGAATACTGACAACCTGACTACTTCTGCTTAAGACAAAACAGTAAAAGCATTACACCTTTGGAAAAAAAAAAAGGGGGGGGACAATAGTCTTTTGTGGGGGTTTGTCTGGGGGTAGGATTGACCCAATTCTCCTTCTTGCACCCTATGGGAAGCAGTCCTCATGGCCCCCGTTTACAGTAGGTTACATTTATTGCTCTTCTTTCCTCGTCTGGCTTGTAGTGCAGCCCTGGTGGCCATTTCAAACACTTCCCTCACACCATCCTTTGTTTTTGCAGAGCACTCCATGTATCCAAAGGCACCAATCCTGTTAGCCATATCTCGTCCATCCTCTGGTTTCACAGGTTCCTGAAGAAAGTACATAAAGAGGCCTTTTTTAAAAGGAAACTGCTATATGCTGTTGATACGTTTGTGCATAATCTGAAGTTTTTACCTGCTTCATTTTGGCTAGTTCTCTCCGAGTGTGATCATCATTACGCAAGTCCTTTTTATTTCCCACCAGTATGATGGGAACATTAGGACAGAAATGTTTCACCTCAGGGGTCCACTTCTCAGGGATGTTTTCTGAGTAAGTGGGAACAAAAATGTCAGCAGTTAAAACAGAAACACAGCTGTATAGACTTTACAAACAGCAAACATTATTGTGTAGAAATAATCCGTGCATAAATCTATAATGGGTAAAACTGTTCTGTAACACAACAGGAATTATTGGCCAGGTGGTCATTGTAAATGAGAACTGGTTCTCAATAATATTATTATGATGTAAAAGAATCCATCTCTTACAACACAGGATTTCTTCATAAATTATATATATATTTAAACTACAACTAGAACGTCCACATCAAAAGAGCATCCAATTCAAATACACAATGCACTCATAAAAACTTAAAATAAAAAAAAATTATGATAATGGAAGCTCAATAAAGTTGTCAATAATATATATATTTTAATCAAATAATTTTATTTAATGTGTAGAATTAGCAATTCAAAACTGTAGGTCAATAGAGGAAAATTGTTGTGAATGACTCAATTAATTTATTTCAATTATTTAGTATGTATTTTTTAGAACTTAGAAGAAGATGGAAGCTCTGTGATAACAATATGAAGTTAAGTGAAAAGCAAAAAAGAAAACGTATAAAACATCAGCTTCAACACTGCGCATTGCAAAGACATCAGGGAAATTACAAAAAACAAAAAAACATTGATTCTATTATATGGTTGTTCCCTTGAGGTTAGAATGCAGGTTCAGACTGAGGAAACAATTCTGCAACTCTAACAAAGTTGTCAGGTCCTTTGGACAGATAAAAAAAAAAAAAAAAAAAAAAAAACTTGTTTTGTCTTTTATCCAAAAGACTCGGTCAAATTCTGCAACTCCTGACAAAGTGCCTGTTCACCAGGTTTGCAAGCAAAGAAGCGAAATAATAATTGTCACAGTTCTTTGTACTCACCAAGACTGTCTGGGCTGTCGATGGAGAAGCACATAAGAATGACATCAGTGTCTGGATAGGAGAGGGGGCGGAGCCTGTCGTAGTCTTCTTGACCTGCTGTATCCCACAGAGCTAATTCAACCTGCCAAAAGTTGGAAAAAAGTTATCAGCTGCAAGAAACATACAAAAAAATGTCCTCAATCTACACTTTTGACACTGATTGCACGCATTTATTATTTTGGATCTGGTGCATATATGAACCATGCTCACAATGTTTTAGGAATATATTTCCAAAGAGCAATATTTAACACTTAGTCTTTAGCCAAGAACAGAGATCTTTTGTGTCGACTTGATTTTAATGATGCATTGTTTAAAAAACACTAACAATATTAATAATTAGGACATAGAGATGTGCTTTTTATTATCAGAAAAATATCAACTTGATCTGTCTAAATTTAGATTTTGCTATAGAATTGCAATAGTGTTACGCTAAAAGATGACATTTTGTAATTTACAGCAAATGTAAAGTAATAAATTATTGTACTGCTCTAGGGGTTTAAATAGTGGGGACTACCAGGTAAGCATGAATTCCACACTACAAATGTAAACACAAATAAAATGTTGAAAACTTAAAATAAACAAACTGAGAACGCCTGACTGATTCACGTACACGAAAGCAATGAGTCCAAGTAACCTCATCTGAGGGACATCAAGGCGTTTGTATTTGTGCAAATGTTTTTAGAAAAATTTAGTCAACTATTTTTTTAAATTATTCATTCATTTAAAAGAAACAAGACAAATTCATAAAAAAAACCCCAAAAAAAACAATGAATGAAAAGGGTGCAGAAAGAAGAAGAAAATTCTTATAAAATTAAAGATTTGGTTATGGGACAGCACGGTGGCGCAGTTGGAAGAGCTGCTGCCTCTCAGCGAGCAGGTCACCCCGGTTCAAATCCCGGCCTGGGGGCCTTTCTGGGTGGAGTGGATGGAAGATTTGGTTATGCCTAAATACACTTCAATCCCACGGTATTGTTGCTTCCTGGAAATGTTTCTTTAAAATTTAGCTTGGAAAAGGAACCACACATTCTCTAATGCAATAATACCTCATGCATTTCACACAGAATGAATTTTAAACAAAACCAGACAGAGCATGTTTATATAACGTGAACTTGATTTTCCTTACAGAGACACACAAAGCTACCATATATACTAGTTTATGCACTTTATGGAAGTTCTTAGGAAGAACCCATGCTTTACGAAATGCTCTTACTCTCAGCAAACTTGTAAAAATCCAAAAACCTAAGATAAGTATACTTAATTTGTACCAGTCTGCAAATCTAAACACACATTACCACTTGGTGAGAGTGAGAAGTGTAGAAAGAAACACAACCAGCAATCAGCTTTTGGTGTAAACAAACAACCTCTCATAGCTGTGTTTGAAATGTGGGAGGACGAAACTAATCCAAACCTGTTTGACATCAACTTCAATGTCGGCGACGTAGTTCTCGAACACTGTGGGCACATAGACTTCAGGGAACTGGTCCTTACTGAACACAATGAGCAGACAGGTCTTTCCACAGGCTCCATCTCCCACTATAACCAGCTTTTTCCTGATTGCTGCCATAGCTGCAGATAGGAGTGACAGAAGAGTAGCAGCTAGAACATACAAATATCATTATCTGTCTTTAACAGGGCGGGTCATCTTATTGCACTGAGCATTATGCAACTTTCAAGCACTGAGCCTGATAAACCATGAGCAGCCCAGTCTACAGCTGTGTTGACACAACCCCGAACCAGTCCGAAACCAACACCCGCAGCTCACAAGACTGTCGGCCATCACGGCTACTTTTAACGAGCCAGCTGTACAGAACACATAAAACCGCGAGCCCACGTATTTTCAGTTAATTGTGAAATACATTTTAACTTGTTTATTTCAAGGTTATTCTTCAACGATTGTACATTTCCGCTGTTCTGACCCATCCCGGATTCAAAAGCTAGACTGTTTTTCCAATTTGACCCACTTCGTCATAATTTATTGACTAAACTTCAACATGTAGCTGCGAAGCAGACATGACCTCGATTAAAACTAGACTAGTAGGATGTTCTGTTTACCAAAGACTTAATGCTAACTACCGAGGCTAACGGAGGATGTAGCTTCTATGCTAACTTTTCATCTTTAACTATACAAATCAAAAGAGCTAAACGAAATATTAGTCACATTTATATTATCACATATGGTTTAACTGCAACGTGTATGCGTTCCTTTTAACTGTTAAACAAACTCAGCGTTGTTTTTTTCTTTACATTGACAACACCGGCACAGCTAGCTGGCTAGCCGCAAGTAGCTTAGCATAACGGAAGTCAAAGCGAGTTGCATCGGTCCGCTAACTAGGTGGCTAGCATTAGAAAAAAAATATCGGAAGAAAATATATATGAACCACACATATAGCGATATCCATAGCAAATAACCTAGCATTTAGTGTGAGAAAAATTTCAATTTTACCATGTACGTATGGCAAACTTACCAAATAATAGGTTAGAAATCTGTTAAACTGAACTCAAAGTAGCGCTTTGTGTTAGCCTCCTTTGTTGCTGCGATGATGCTGGAGGATTAGCAGGAGGGAAGTGAGGGGGCGGGGACAGTAAAACTGACAATAAAATAATAATAATAATAATAAAAGTTGCAGTACTGTAATTGTGAGATCATGAAAACTGTTCTTAAAGCACAGTTTTTTTTGCTGTTTAAACGCTATTTAAATAAATTGCCTCTTTTCTTTCTAAAAACAATTAAAAAAACAAGTTTTCAGGAAAGAGTTTCAATGAAAAACAGCTAAGTTGTAAACAGTTAAACTTTTAAAAAAAGTTTTACATTTAAGATAAGATGAGATAGAACTTTATTGATCCCGCAGGAAATTGTTGTGCCAGAGTTTCAGTACAAAGTATCATACACAATAAATCACACAAGATATAAAAATATAGAGAACATAAAAATAACAAAATATAAAAAATAAAAGAGATTTATAAACATTTCTTATAGGTAATAAATGTTGCATCAAATGAGCAGCTAGGTGTTTGTTAATATCTTTTTTTTCAAATATCCACTAGTGTTTATGTGATAGGACAAAAAAAGTCACGCAGGGCATTACAGTGCAGGTGAATAACTTGTGAATTACTGTAATACCACAAATGATTTTTAACGGAACTTTTTCTGTTAAGTCCAACAAAGTTTAGTCAGGTCCTCTGGACTGTTTCTTTATTTTTCAATCCAACCTTTATTTTTACAGGTTAGTCTCATTGAGCCTCGAGGACTCTTTTACAAGAGAGACCTGTTTTAAACAAAGAACACAGATGACAACAGTAGACTACATGTTTTCTTGGAATGTTTCATGTCACGTTTCACAGTGTTTTTTTTAAATATATGTCAAGCTGCATGCAATGTTTTGTGTTATTTCTTGTTGTGTTACATGTTGGACTACTTGTGTCACATTGCGTGTGTGAATTACATGTGTGAATACGTGTTGTTACATGTTATACAACATACACGTTTTGTTATGTGTTGTGTTACATTACATGTATGCTGTGTTATGCTGAAACGTTTCGTCTTTCATTCAAAAGACTTTATCAGTCTCGAGGAGCCACAATTATTGAGCAACTTTGATGTTTTGAACCACTTTGGCCATGGCTGACGGGTCAGTGGGTCAGCGGGGGAGAAGGCGGACTCAAGAAACCATCTTAGCACCAGCAAACTGGTTGACCCACTAAGTGAAGGTGCTATTTATAAGACTGAGTTTGTTGTGACTCTTTGGACTGATGAAGTCTTTTGGATGAAAGACAAAACGTTTCAACATAAAGAAACATCCAGAGGACCTGACTTAACTTTATTGGATTTTTCTACCTGGATTATTGAGCATGAACTTTGATATTTTCAAGGTTTTCCTCAGCTCCACAGTATAAATTAATTCTTGGGTTCATACTTACCTTTTAACATTACCCTTTTTTGTGCTGTGTTTAAGAGCATTTTGGTTTCATGCAGCTCATTTGGTATTTAGATAAATGTTTCGTTAGTTCAAAATGTGTCCTGTATAAATATCAGTTGAGTTCACAGATTTCCTCATATAGTTACTTTTGCTCAGTAATGTTTAACATGTTCTGCTGTGCTTATCTTCACATGCGGTAGACCTGGATACAACACAGTTTTCAATGTTAAAAAACAAACAAACAAAAAACAACAACAACAATGCAAGTGATACCAGTGTTAAATATTCTTCCAAACTCTTCCTGTTATGAAAGTGATTTTTACTGTAGGTAAGATAATGATCTTTGATAAGAATTTCACAGAAGACCACTTCAAAGTACCCAAATTAATTCTTTAAGCATCTATAAATATAAATGGTTTATCAATTAATATCAATCAACCTTTATTTATACAGGTAAATCCCATTGAGCCTCGAGGACTCATTTACAAGAGAGACCTGATTTCAACAAAGAAAGATGACAACAATGGACAACAGCAACAACAATAAACAGTTATAAAAAAGCATACTACAGTTTTTTTTTTTTTTTTAACAAATAGGATGGTTAAAAGGAAAAGGTAACAAAACAAAAAACAGCTAGATTCCAAGACAAATGTAGAAAACTAAAAACAGGAACATGTCAGCATTGGACCCTGCCAGGTGTCCAACAGATTCTTAAAGACACTTAGAGAGGTCAAGGTCGAGAGCTTCAAATCAATTTGTAAGATATTCCAGGAAACAGGAGCGGAGTAGGAGAAGGCTCTTTTGCCTAGTTCAGTCCTCACTGAGGGAACACTGCAGGTAATAATGTCCTGAGAGCGCACTCCGTAGCTGCACTCACGCAGAGACATCTAGGATGAGATGTATGAAGGCAACAGACCAAGAAGTAATTTAAAGATGAAAATATACCAGTGAGAGAGTCTGCGTGAAGTTAATGATGTCCAGTTAACCAGTGAATACAGGGTGCAGTGGTGGGTACGATAATCACAGCCAGTTATGAATCTTAGCGCACCATGATAGACAGCATCCAACAACTGCAGGGTTCTTGTAGGAGCGTTCATGTAAATAATGTCACCATAATCAATTGAGGGAAGGAAAGTCACAGATACAAGGCGTTTTCTAGCATTCAGGGTTAGACAGGATCTGTTTCTGAAAAAGAAACCCAGTTTAACTTTCAGTTTCTTTACCAAGTTTTCCACATGGAGCTTAAAAGAGAGATGTGAGTCGACCAAGATACCCAAATATTTATAGGAATCAACAAACTCAATGGGGACACCATTTGAGGATAAAATCGGAGGAAGAACTGCTGGGACCAACTTCCTATTTGAAAAAAGCTTCCCTTTGGTTTTGTCGGCATTTAGGACAAGTTTGAGGCAAAACAAATCTGTCTGGATGATGTTGAATGCAGATTTCAAAAGCTGGAAAGCCTTAGCAACAGTTTTAGCTCGACAATAAACAACTGTGTCGTCAGCATAGAAATGTATGGATGCATTAGGGATGTTTTTACCTACATTATGTATGTAGATTGTAAAGAGGGTGGGTCCTAAGACTGAGCCTTGTGGTACACCATTGTTGACTGTTAAATAACTGGAGGAAGTACCATTATGTTGAACACATTGCCTCCGGTCTGAAAGATAGTTAGAGAACCAACCAATAGTGTGTTCTGAGAAACCAATTTCTGAGAGTTTATGACACAAGATGTTATGATCCACAGTGTCAAAAGCTTTAGACAGGTCTAAGAAAAGTGCAGCACAATAATCCTTAGCATCCAGTGCTTCAACAACATCATTAAGAACCTTCAGTGAAGCAGTGGTTGTGCTGTGTTGTTTCCTGAAACCAGATTGATGTGGAGGTAAGATGTTAAATGAGTCCAGGTAATTTTTGATTTGAGAGTTTATCAGTTTTTCTAGAATCTTGGCTAAAATGAAGAGTTTAGAGATTGGTCGATAATTGTTCAGTGAGGTGGGGTCTCCTCCCTTCAGCAAAGGAAGAACAAAGGCTGTTTTCCAAGTGTCTGGGATGGAGTTTTGTCATATGGAGAGATTGAAGATGTGGGTCACAGGGACTGTGATGATATGAGCGGCCAGCCTTAAGAAATAAGGTGGAAGTTCATCTGGACCTGCAGATTTTTTTAGGGTCAAGATCTTTCAACAGTTTATTGACCTCACTGACTGAGAATGGAGAAAAAGAGAAGCTGTGACTAACTGAGGATTGACTTGTATAGATTATATATTAATACATTTACACATAAGGAGGAGATGTGGTTAACATATTTAATATATTCGTGATTATTAAATTTGTTTCAATAAATCTATATGAGTATTTTTGTATTAAGTGTTTTAAGTCAGATTTGTAATGAAGAATTCTAATATTGTTATAGTGTCTCTTTCGCCTTTTATCTTAAGTCTACATAGTAAAAACCACAAACTCATGCCGTTGCCATCACGCTGCAAGTAATAACGTCAAACACATGAAGAGGAATATTATTTTGACAGAAATCCTATTGAGAAAAGTGCTTTGCTTTTTTTAACCACAGGAAAAGAAACGACTTTCCAGAATTGCACGTTGAAGCACGACGGGACAAACAAAACTACTTTCTCTCTTCTCATTTGGTGCAGCGGTGGACTAATAACTGCAGCTCACTCTAATCCTGATAAGAGGCTTTCTCAGTGCTGTTCAGTTCCAACTCGTGGAAACCAACTCAGATGCATTTCCAAGAAAACGGTAATACCTCCCATTCATCTGTACATTGAAGTGGTCAAGCTGTTGAAATGGAAGAAGATAGATGTATTTCTCTGAAGGCAACTCTGAGCTCCATTCTGAGAATAAAATCAATTTGACAACAGATGTCTTTTATCAGCTTTTGATGAAGAGCTTTTGCGGCTGGTAATAAAATGATAATGAAAGGACATCCCTCTCCTCTTAAAAGAACATCTGATTTCAGATTATCTTCAAATGAATAGAAAATAAACATTATCTTGCAAAAGGCCATGTAAACAACTGTTGGTGTACATCATGTAAAGATAATACCTTCAACTGTTTGAATTTGCAATTATAATATTCAATATTATAATATAGACATGCAGGGGAAAAAAGAGTCAGAACCATCATTCATAGTAAATTTGTTGTAATTTGTATAGTTACCAAAAACTGTGTTTTATTAAGACAGTTATAACATAAAAAAAAATTAACTTATGTAAAAGGCAATTTTTAGGAAGAAGGATTCTGAGGTGACTGCATAGAAACTGAGTCCTAAAAGGATTGATGTCCCAAAGAGTGAATGAATTCTGCTGGTAATCCTTTTCAAACTAAATCTGAAGTGCAGCGAAGATTAAATACAAAGTAAATACAACTATTCACCAAATAAATCTGCTAGATTAACAAAACATGCTTTTTTTTTGTAGCTGCTTTATTATTTATAACTTGGGGCTGGCTCATTGAAAAACAGTAGAACTGAGAAAACAACATAAAAAAAAAAACCCACACACAAATTGCACATTTCATGGTACAAGGCAAACATATGAAAATAATTTAAACAATAGTCTTCTCTCCTGGATTAAGATTGAACTCATTCATGAGCAGTCAGGTAACACTGAGGCTGGATAGTTTTCTTCTCCTGGATTGTAAATCTGCTGCGTGAGATCTGATGCTGTCCCAGTTTCACAGCACATGGTCACGGAGCGTAATCCTGACCCTGTTTCTGTCTCTCTTTATCCCTCTGCGTCTGACAGACGGCCATCCTTAAATAAAGAAAGGGTAGTTCTGCAGGAAATGCAGCAGCGGCTTTGGGAGTGGCAGCTGGTCGGTGCAGTTCGTGTGTTTGTTGATGGTGAGCCGTGTCAGGTGCTGCAAAGAGGGAAACCCCTGCAAGCTGTGCAGAGGATGACCTAACTTCAGGGGGACGCTGTTGTCTTTATCCGCACGCTTTACGGGATCAGGTTTTGTTTGGGGCTGAACTGACGACAGGTCCTGCGTCGTCTGGCCTGAGAGCGTGTAGTGCTGGATCAGGCTCAGAACATCTGGGAAAGTCTGTAGGTGAGGCAGGTGAGAGGAAGTGGAGTCCAGCCAGAAGCAACCCTTCTTGTACTCTATACGCACGCTGGTTGGGCCACAGCGAGTCTTCACAGACAGGGCCAGCATGTACTGAGGGTGACTGCTGTCCCGCACCAGGAACGTGCCCTCAGACTTGGTGAGGAGGGCTTCCCGAGCTTCACTCGCCGAGATAGACCCCCAGTACCAACCTAAAAAAACATGACAAATATTATAAATATGTTTTTTTAAAGATAATATTTCTGGTAAAACAGTCACATGAATATATACTGAAGGTGTTCTGGTATGTTTTAAAAACAGACAGTGTAAAGTTCTTCTATGTTAAAGAGATAGTTCAGGTCTTTTGAAGTGGGGTTCAGTATGATCTGTATAAACAATTACTATCTTACTTGTTGTAGATAACCTTTTGTATGTCCTCAGTTTGGAAAAAGAGGCTGTGTTCAAAACGCTCACTTGTTTACTCACCCACTGTAAGGTCACTGTGCATTAAACTATGTAGGTGAGAGGGGACAGCGCTGTTTTTACATTCTGAACACTACTTAAATGCATCTGTGTCAAGTTTTCACAGTCAGGTGTTGCATAAATAAACACCAGCAAGATATGTTGAAAACACATCTGAAGTGATGGACAACAAAATAATGCTGGATTGGATCAGTATAAATAATGTAGTCTGTCTCCATAAAAAATGTCTTTTTATATATATATATATATTTTGTTGTAAAATTATTTATTTACATCACTATGGACTGCAGCTGTAATAATATCACAGCCTTCAATATACTGAAATTATTAATATTATTTACAAAATACTTCTATATGGAACAAATGTGTTTAAAGGTGTAGTCTGCAAATGATAAAAAAATGTCACACAACTTTATGACAGTTGAAATTTGCTTTCCACATTGTAATTCAGACATTTAATTTTAAGATTTAGACATTTTAAATGCAATTTAGTTCACACTTTTCTAATAATTTCTCAGCTCTGCAGCTCAGACATGAAAAGGAGAGACATCTAGATAAGTAAAAACATTTGAACAAATCAGAAAATCACAATGCCATGCGGATGTTAGCGTTAGCCTGTTGTGCTGTGACGCAATGCATTATGATCTGTTTTACAGATATACGAATATTATATGTGATGAGTTCCTAGGGCTTTATATTGGATAAAAATTTGCAGTTAAAACCAAACAACATTAAAAAATGTCTGACTCGCTGCATAGTGAATGAGCGGAAAATTCAAATTCAGCCGTTGAGTTTAATTATGATCAGACTGATGAGCTGATAGCTAGTCTGAACACAGATAAGACCAAATTAAACTGCTTCTGTCTTAAAACAACTCCAGTTTCACAAATCAGAGTTTGCGCAAATGTGGTTTTATAAAGTGTTGCATCTCTGTCAGTTTTGCATTTTCATTCTGGCAGAAATATTGTGATATTCTTATCAGAAGTACCCCAAATTGTCCTGAAAGTGCTACAGCTAGCTGCTGCTGGTGACATTTGAGCTTGCAAATAACCACAGAATTGAATGTAAGTTACCAGGTGTTCCACAATCAAAACGGACAGAAGTGTATCAATTTATAAAACAGGGTTTATAGAAACTGTTGTGATAGTTTTGAGACTAGAGTCCAATTTGGTTTTAGTACCAGTCTGACCAACCATTAGTTCATCAATCCAGTCAGATTTAAACTCGTTCTCCAAACTGAAGTCGACCAAAGAGTTATCTACAACAGGTAAGATATTATTTATAATCTTTCCACCAAATCCCACTTTAAAAGGTCTGAATGATTAATTTAAACCAATAATATTAACTGGACTCTAATCAGTAGAGATGATGGTTTACCTGATGCCTGAAGGTACTGGAAGTTAGTCGTGATGCAGCGCAGGTCTTCTACAGGGTCCCAGTGTGGAGGAGAAGGATGTGGGCTGCAGGAGCTTTCTTGTTCCTCATGATGCAAAATGGTGACCGTCCGGGCTACCATTTCTGTTCGACAGAAGACCTGCCGAAGAAAATATAAACTGTGAGGAGTCAAGAAAAATGTCATTTCCAGATGTGTAACCAGACTCGTTTCTTTTGCAAGTGTATTCTCAGTCACATTAAAGTTTCAAGATAATGATTAATGAAACAAAGCTGGTAGGAAATCGTTCAAGTGAATAGTAATATTTGAGGAATGTTGCTTTATATTTGAGGACAAGTGCTCAAAATGCCTTTATTCTTCAAAATGAACCACAAAGCTAAAACAAAGTAAACTAAAACCTGATAAAGGGCACAGACCAGTAACATAAAGAAGAAAATAAAAAATACATCATATTCACAGGTCAGAATGTTAGCTCATATTTTCTTTGTCAGATGGAACCATGAAATAAATGTTAACAAAATTGTCTATACTGTAGCGCCATAAAGCTGCTTTTTCCTGAGGTACGCAGGAAAAACACAGCAGTAAAAGCCATGTTGACATGTTAACACTCAACACCTGGATTTGCAAGTAAAGCATTAAATAATAGTAAATCAGTGGCAGTTATAGTTTTGTTTTTACTCCACAACAAGCTGCTTAGCAGAAAATACAACCAAATATTCAAAAACGATCATAAGTATGTAAAATATTCTTACCTTAAATCATGAAAACCTACAAATGACTGCCACCATTGAAGAAAGTGGGGGGTAAAGAGAGGGAATCTGGTTTATTCCTGCATTAAATGTTTAATCCCCAGAAGAGTCCTGTAGTGAGTCACGTGAGGTACGTGTCACTTGTTGTATGACAAATATATGGATATATATTTATGCATACTTTTCACGAGTTCTTCATTTTTCTGACTGTAAATGTCGTGCATTGAATTTAACAGAAATGTAACGAGAGACGTTGTTTATCTTTGACCCATCAAATGAATGGAATCATTTATTTTCAGAATCAAAGTTTAACATCAAACATTTACATTAATTTGGCAAAATATGAAAATAATAACAGACAGTTTCACAGAAAATGAACTTCAAATCACTCGGCGGTGATTTGAGGACTTTGCTTAAGATATTTCTAAAATATCTGTACTGATTTATGAGAGAGAGGTGGGTTTTAGAGTGAAAGGAGATTATCTTACAGAGAACTGTGTGAGGGAAGTTTAATCTGTTTAACCAGAAATTGCACGCTCCGTCAGATCCTCAGCCCGTCCACGGTACACTTTAGTCGAAGAAGAAGCCTTTACCTGGTTTGACGATAGATCAGCTCAGTAAGCATCCTTCAGACTGTTTCCAGCGCCTCCGTTAAGCACAGCTAAAAATCCTCGGAGAGTCGTGCGTGGTTAGCTCAAAACAGACTTATAATCCCAAACGTCCCTGGATTCTCGGCAACTCCAAAACTCTTCATAACTCTTGGACTCTTCATTGCTCTGAAGCTTTCAGAACCGGCTGCACTCTCAATCAGCTCTCATTCCAACATCTCTCAGAACTCTCATTCTCTTGGAATTCTGGAATTCTCTCGAAATCTTCTCTTCTCTAATTCCCAATGAACTGAGAAGTTGCCACATTTTATTTGGGTCGACTTCCTGTTCAATTTAGAGCTTTCTGATTCGTGGAAGGACCAGAAAGAGGAGTGGATTTGTGACGTAAGATGTTATCATAAGTCAAGGATTGTTTACAACATACAGAAAAGATTATTGCAGCAACAGCAGACTTCGTGGAGTCTCACACTTTGTAATCTTTTCAAATAGTAAAACATGACATTTTTCTCGGTAAACATTTTAGTTGACCGAAAACCAACCTTTAACATACTTACGACAGCTTGCTCATTTCAGACAGAAAATCAAGAAAGGCATATTCGGGTGATTTCTTCTCTGAATGAGGAACAAAAATCATTACTTACTGTTTATGTAAAATAAAAATTAGTAGTTCTTTTCAACCTGTAAAGCATTGAGTGAACTAACACAATTTGATTATCAAAACATTTGTAAGACAGTAATGATTATAAAGAATTGTCTTTTCTGCTTGATTAATTCAAGAAAGAAAGTTCATCAGATGGTTCAGACTTATTCAGATCAATGAAAATAACAGTCTCTGTCCATCTGGTAGATTTGAGGTCATCTGGTTCACTACAGTCCAAACGTGTAAAGATCTCTGTGGCTTCTGCTGGAACTAAAAAGTGTGTGTGTGTCGGAGGGGCAGCTCTGACAGCAGCTGAGATCAGGAGGGCTGACAGCCCAGCTTCCCGGGAATCTGTTTCCAGGAAAGGTTTTGTGTTTCAGCAGCCCGCAGCGACAGAAAAAGGTTGCAGCCCAGCGGATCAACACAGCAACACACACTACTTCCTCTACAGATGTCAACAAAAGACACAAAGACTCCCTTAGCTGGGTCATAGACTTTTATTTCCTTACAATAGGGGAGGAATGATGATGAAAATGACAAAAACACATTCAAGCACCAGCTCACACTATGCTCTGACAATCAGCTTTTGGCTCAGTCCCAAGTCTAATAATGACACAAGAACAATTTCAGAGATTTATTATGTAACAGTCTTCAGAAATATGGCTGTTCTGATAAATAACTTAATGCATATTTTATTGTAACTACAGGCAAATAACAAAGGTCCCCCTATTTTAATTAAACTAGTATACCTTGAAAAAAATGCATATTACCCGCCACATTACATGTTAAAATTCTGAATAAAGACTTTGCACAATCTCTTAGAACTTTAATTGTGTGTTGGGGTAGACTCTCATCTACCACCACTTTAAATTTTAGTTCAATATGTGTAAAATTGACAGTGTTGTGACCATTTTTGTGTTAGCTAATGTCATTAGCATCTTGCACCAGGTTGACTCCTTAAGGTTTTTAAGGTTTTAGGTTTCTTTATTTGTCCTTTGCACCACATGTGGTACATGTGATGGAACAAAATTGTGTACGCAGGGTCCCAGTTACATCCAATAAAAGTATGAATTGTAAAAGAAAAACAGTAATATGATCTAAGATATGAACTAAGAAATATGCTATACTAAGAATATACTAAGCACAAGTAGTACGAAAACAATACGCCGAACAACAGCAGCACGAACATGAGTCTGTGTGAGCAGATAAATACGAATGAACACAGCAGTGTGAAATAAATTAGCAGCATGAGATCAGCAGCATGGATAGTCAGCAGCACATATCAACAATCAAGTGGCATTACAGTGATTTTTATTTTTCACATTGATTATCCTGGTTAGAGATTCATGAGTCTAACAGTTTCAGGGTAGAAGCTGTTCCTCAGTCTAGTGGTTCTACACTTAATGCTCCTCAACCTCCTTCCTGAGGGGAGTGGGGGAAAAAGTGTGTGTGCTGGGTGAGTGGAGTCCTTCATGATGCAGGTGGCCCTCTTCCTGCATCTGGAGGTGTAGATGTCTGTGATGGTGGGGAGGCTGACTCCAACAGACTTCTGTGCAGCCTTCACCACTCTCTGCAAAGCTTTTCTTTCTGCAGCTGTGCAGCCTCCATGCCACACGTTGATGCTGGAGCACAGGATGCTCTCCACTGCACACCTGTAGAAGGAGGTGAGGACTGAGCTTCAGAGTCCAGCCCACCTCAGCCGCCTGAGGAAGTAGAGTCTCCGATGAGCTTTCTTGATCAGGCTGGAGGTGGTGTTGCCCCAACTGAGGTTGTCACTCAGGTGCACACCCAAGTACTTGTAGCTGGAGACCACTTCCACCACAGATCCTCCTATGTTGTGTGTGTGTGTGCTTGTTTCCTCTGAAGTCCACAACCATCTTCTTCATCTTCTTCACATTGATGTGAATGTCGTTCTTCCTGCACCAGCTCTCCAGGTGTTCCACCTCTTGCCCAGCTGAACTTATCGTTGTTTTTTGATGCAAGTTATTGTCAAAGTTTTAAACAAAATTTTTGCTCAATCAGACATTTGCCATCAGAGAGTGTGATAAAGATCCCCCTCAGCTACTACCACATCAAAGTCTAGCTCAAAATCTGTAAAACTGACAGAGTTGTAGCTGATTTTGTGTTTGCTAAACTCAATTAGTTGTGGCGGACATCTTGATTCAGGTTGGCTTCAAAGTTTAGTGGATTGTAAATGTACATTTGATCATTACATTCTGAGAGCTTTACTATAATTTGCCCAGCTGGTTGTGAGATATTTTGCTAACATTTTGGATTTGAAGCCAACACTTTAGGCGTATGCCAAAGTTTCAAGCAAAGATGTCATGGCTCAGTTTGTGTTGGAGACTACGCTCAGCTACTACCACACAAATCTTTCCCACATCTGTAAAATTAACTGTTATAGCCATTTTTGGGTTGATTTAGGTCGATTAGCTGTGGCAGCCATCTTGAATTGATTGACACCAAACGTTAATCAGTTGGAGACGTTTACACTGATTGTTTGCTTTTTGAGTTTCAATAAATAACATCCATTGGGCCCTGAGATATTTTGCTAACAGACAAATAAACATACACAGGCACTTACGTGATCACCCTGCTTTCACAGGCCGTGATCATTATTCCGTAATGTCATATTGCATTTGTTTTTTTACTTCAGTCTTTGCATTAAAAATTAAAACTTTCCACAGAATTTACAACTTTCACCTTCCCTAATGTGTTTTCCGTTGTTTTAATGTAATCTATTTTTAACAGTTTACACTGAAGTCACCACTTCCTGTCGTGTTTAATGCAGCTGAGTTTAGCGGAAATAGGAACTAGTTTACTGTAAGCATTAATTATGGGATTAACCTGTCTAAATAAAGGTTGAATGAACGTCTTCATTTAAAATGGAAATATTTGTTGACATTCTGTAGCAAACCAATTACTTTAATAATTAAAAAATATATACTTATTCCCCTCTGCCATTCCCTTCAAATAAGGACTTTCTGGTATGACATTTTGTCTCATTACGCTGTAACAAGTTCTTGTTGAGGTGAGGTGTAAATTATTTTTTTCTTGGAAATCACCGTTTTCAAAGATTCATCATAAACCCAGCCCATAGCTGGAGATAATGACCACTTGAAAACTGCTGTTCAGCTCTGAAGCCGGCTTCCAAGAAGAAATGTTCACATTAGTGGTGTTTCCCGTGAGGCATGAAAGCATCAGAGTGCACAGCCGAGGGCTTCTGGGTAGAGCGCCTTCTTGGAAAACACACACAACCCCGTGACCCCCACTGCTGCCTGCCTCTCCTTTTCCTTTATTTATGCATGTTAGTCTCATTCAGACACATTTCTCTCATTTGCAAAATACATGTTATTCACAAATATAAACAAAACAGTACTAAAATATACATGTAAATACAACCACAATAAAACAACAACCAAAAACTAATTGAAAGCAGGAGGTTCATGGGTGAATTCTCCAGTTTAAAATTTGGGTGGATGGGTGGGGGTGTTAACAAGAGTGGAAAACTTCTGATCCTGCTGAAGCGTGTTCCAGATGGAGCAGCCAGAGTACAACGCCTCTTACCCAGTTCAGCATAAGTGGCATGCTATAGGTGATAATAGGGCTGTTAATAAATATATAACAAGATAAATATGCTGGATCCAGACAGAGAATAGATTCATAAAGAAGTGCACCAAGTAAAATCTGCAGATGTGGAACGATGGCTGCTTAACCAGAGGATAAAGCGCAATGAACGAGAGGTTTCCTGTCTGTGAAATCCCTGGCTGCGTAACTATAAGATCTTACTTACATTCAATTACAGAGGTGGAAATCAAGCAACACACACACTGACGGAAAATACACCAAATATGTTTTTTATTGTAGAAGTGTGTAAAACAGCCTTCATGTGAGTGTCACATCTCAATTGGATGGCCGACTCTCTTGAACCTGATAAAGCATTTCATTAACATGGGTCTGCAAAATGTGACTTGTAATCCATCTTAAAGCAGGAACTTCACAACATTTACTATGGGATTTTTATTAACTAAAGTATAGGAGAAATATTAGAAAAGTGGTAAGAGTAAGCAGGAAATGAACATGCAGAAAAGCAGCAGAAGGCTTTATTTTAAAGCTATTAAAATAGCGACAAAGCCAGACCTCACTCTGCAGGATTTACAGCAACATGTGTGCACTCGACAGGCCTGTCTGCAACTAAATCTGTCTCCATTTGAAAGTTTAAGTTGCGTCAAGAAGACGAAAATTAGACAACCGGGTCCTGCGAAGCAGCTCATCTGTTTTCAGAAAGAATGGACCCACGTTCCTTTTGAAAAACTGGAACAGTCGAACAGCTTTAACTCCACAACAATTAAAAAAAGCTATTAAAATGTAGCTTGAGGTAATCAAAAGATGAATATGTTTATCTGTTATTAAGTTATTTTTTCTAAACTGAAAGGTGTTGGTCAGTGAAGAAACTGGAAATTAAAAAAATGTTGTATATGTCTATTACAAAGGTTCTCATCAATGAATACATTTGATATTTAACATCTTGAATTAAAAATAATTCTGTTAATGCAGTTTGAATACAAGCTACAGTGGTGCTTGAAAGTTTGTGAACCTTTTAGAGTTTCCTATATTTCTGTATAAATGACCTAAAACATCATCAGATTTTCACACAAGTCCTAAAAGTGGATAAAGAGAACCCAGTTAAACAAATGAGACAAAAATATTATACTTGGTCATTTATTTATTGAGGAAAATGATCCAATATTACATGTTTGTGAATGGCAAAAATATGTGAATCTCTAGGATTAGCAGTTAATTTGAAGGTGAAATTAGAGTCAGGTGTTTTCAATCATTGGGATGGTGATCAGGTGTGAGTGGGCACCCTGTTTATTTAAAGAACAGGGATCTATCACAGTCTGCTCTTCACAACATGTTTGTGGAAGTGGATCATGGCAGGAACAAAAAAGATTTCTGAGGACCTCAGAAAAAGAGTTGTTGATGCTCATCAGGCTGGAAAATGTTATAAAACCATCTCTAAAGAGTTTGGACTCCACCAATCCACAGTCAGACACATAGGAAATTCAAGACCATTGTTACTCTCCCCAGGAGTGGTGGACCAACAAAGATCACTCCAAGAGCAAGGACCCCAAGCTAACTTCTAAGCAACTGAAGGCCTCTCTCACATTGACTGATGTTAATGTTCATGAGTCCACCATCAGGAGAACACTGAACAACAGTGGTGGTCATGGCGGGGTTGAGAGGAGGAAGCCACTGCTCTACAAAAACAACATTGCTGCTCATCTGCAGTTTGTTAAAGATCACGTGGACACGCCAGAAGGCCGGTGCTTAATTTGAGCCAGATCCTGCCGGAACAGGATCTGGGAACTCTCTTATTTTGACAGGGTGCGTTCCAGTAACTGTTTGCTTGGATCCGGTAACTCTCACTTACTAATAATAAAGTTATGAACAAACATGACTGCCTTGAATGAATAAAACTTATATTGGATATGTAAACTGTAGGATGCTTGACAGAAGCAGAGTGTGTAGGTAAACATAGATGTTTATCAACCTATTAAAATACACCAAAATGAAGGAAATTGCATCTACTTTATTCAAAATTTTCTCGAGGACTCCCAGACCCCACTCTCCCAGCAGGTCCACCCACTATTTGTGTTCCGGCATCAATTGGTTTACAAACTAAGCCCTGCAGAAGGCTGTTGGAAGAATGTTTTGTGGATGGATGAGACCAAAATAGAACGTTTTGTTTTAAATAAAAAGTGTTATGAAAGGAAAACTCTCCATTCCTGCAGAAGAATCTGATCCAATCTGTGAAACACGGTGGTGGTAGTATCATGGTTTGGGCCTGTTTTGCTGCATCTGGGTCAGGACAGCTTACCATCATTGATGGAACAATGAATTCTGAATTATATCAGCTAATTCTAAAAGAAAATGTCAGGACATCTGTCCATGAACTGAATTTTAAGAGAAGGTGGGCCATGTAGCAAGATAATGACCCTAAGCACACAAGTTGTTCTACCAAAGAATGGTTAAAGAAGAATAAAGTTCATGTTTTGGAATGGTCAAGTCAAAGTCCTGACCTTAATCCAATCCAGATGTTGTGGAAGGACCTGAAGCAGCAGTTAATGTGAGGAAACCCACCAACATCCAGAGCTGAAGATGTTCTGTACGGAGGAATGGGCTAAAATTCCTCCAAGCTGGTGTGCAGGACTGATCAAATATAGAAAATTATAAGGGCTTCACAAACTTTCAAGCACCATTGTATGTTGTAGTCATACAAAACAAGGCTCTAGATAAGAATTATGCAAACTCAGTTCATAGTTTTCCTGGTGTTTCTTCACAGATGTTAAACTAAGACTAAAACGTACACAAACTACATGAAAGAGAAAAAAATTCAAAGCATAATCCATCCACTTTAGATGCAGGCTTTTTTTCTTTTAGACATGAGCTCAGTTCAACAAGTTAGTCAACAGTTTTTAGATCTTTATGTGAATTTGTAAAAACATTTGGCTGCATAGCATCATTATGTAATGATTATATCATTGATGAATCAAATGAATTTGAGAAGACAGGAGAACAAGAACAGCAAACAATATCTTGCCAATGCTGCATCAACTAAACATTTTGCAGCAAATTAATTCTAATTCGCATTAGATTTGGATTTCCCCCCTTGTTTAGTGTGAAACGTAAACTTTCTTTAAAAAAAGAAGAAGTAGTGGTTAGAAGCTAAGCAGTCAAATACCTGGTTAATTCTCAAGCTATAATTACATTTGCCTGTGTAATATGTACGTGTGTCAATAATATCTAAATTTCTTCCCCGTTCTCTCCAGGACTCTTGATGAGGCGTTTGTTGCCCCTCTTCCCTCCTGGTCCACGAGGCTTGGCGAAGGCCTGCTTTAGGGCGTGCTCCATCGGGTGCACTTCTTCATACAAGAACTCTTCCGTCAGACCATCGCCGCTGTCGATCTCCATCTGTAAACCAAAACACATCAAAATGACTGACAGCTTCTGATGATCTCATTCGCAACAGAAATCTGGATGTGATGCGTACCTTCTTGTTGACCTCCAGCTGATAGTCTCTCTCCACCTCATCCAGTAACCTGTTCTTACAACTGGAGTACAACATCCGCTCCTTGATGCTGCAGGTGTACCCCGGCATCGAATATATGAACACTGGAACAGACGACAAGTTCAGATGTAGATTGCAGATTAATTTATTTTATATTATATTAATTTATTATTAATAATCCTGGATTCAGTGCACTTCTTTGTTTACACAGGCTGAAGTTTAATTAGACTCAGTGCAAAACAGCATGTAAATCAGTTAATATTTCATATTGTTTCTTACACTTTCTCAAGGCTCAAGGTTCTTTATTGTCATTCGCATCACATGAGGTGGAATGAAATTGTATATTCAAGATTACACCCAAAAGTAGCAAAAATATAAAGTATAAAAAGAAACAGTATAAAAGGATCTAAGATATACGCTATACACTAATAATGTAAAATAATAAGGTGTATTAAAATCTGCCCGAACATGTCGAATATTTCTATAAATATGTTTTAACAAAAACGTACTTTGTGTCATGTTAATTTGGTCCATAGTAAAAATGATTCAGTATTAGTAGTTCACACATCCACATCCAGATGATGGATGTGGTAGCATCCATGTGGTAGCATTTAAAAGTCATTTTAAAAGTGGGGTTCTGTAGAGAGATTAGGAGTGGTCAGTATCCTACCTGCAGTCAGCAGTGACTTGTTCAATCTCAGTTTAAAGAATCAAGGAGAAATTCTCCAAAACATCCAGCTAGATGCTACTAAGAGCCAATTTCCAATGCTTAAAATAACTCAAACCCAAAACAGTTATAGTTATTCAAGCTAACATCGTGTTATAGATTTTTACACATTACTTTTGCATCAGATAGTTAGACTGGGTATGTTTAATACAGTCTATAACCATCAATGTCTATTGTCTAATAAATGACTAGACAATTGCAAAGGTGATGTAAAGGTGTAAAACAACACTAAAACCCATGAAGGGTAACATGGTGGTGAGAATGTCCCAAAAACACATCAAAATATATAAAATGAAAAACAATTTTCACATGGCCAAAGACTCTCCTACAACGTGTTTATTTCTTTAATTTTGTTTACAGTTTGCTCTCTTTTATTATCCTTTTCAAGCAAAGTTTAATGGCAATAGGATCAGGATAAAGCAAGATAAACACAGAAAACCAGTAAAAATAACCTAATATTGGTAGTCCTTTAAGTTTTAAGGGCAAGAAGTGATAGTGGATGTGCAAGAAACGGGCTTCTATGTTATCGTTTCTGAAAAGCTTTGTGTCTCCACACAGACACCAGGAATGGAGTTTTGAAAAAGCTACACTTTGGTGAAAATTTCAGAGTTGTGTAGACGAGGCCTCAGATAGGCTTTCTTTTGAGCAGCTTTAATTGCTGGACACTTTAAAGAACTTGTTTTCTTTTCTTTCCAGTTCTCCAAACTGAAATCCAGTGTTGGCCACAGTTCCACTAATCCGCAAACAGCTAATAGCGGAACTAATTTTATGTTGAGTGTTTTTGTAAACTTTGGAAAATGTTAGCAGAATTATCCATCCACCCATTATCTTTATCCGCTTATCCTTTTTGAGTTGCGGAGGTCACTGGTGCCCATATCCAGCTATCACTGTGCGAGACCCTGGACACGTCGCAAGTCCATCACAGGTTAGCGGAATTAGCTTCTGCTAAATTAGGTTTTGCCAACTTTAAGTCTGCTAACAAAATTCACAAGCTTGTTCTTGTCTCTTGTGGGCGTGTCTCTAAGAGTCCATTAGGCACGCTATTGGCTTACTACATACGCTCGTGACAAGACGTGATTGGTCGATGCAGCTTCAGCTGGAAGGAGTCGAAGACGTATGACACAGATGGAGTTACAGTCGTCTAAGCAAATAGCTGGTTAGTGTCCGCCAATGTTTTTAACCTGTTTAGCTGTTTAGTGTTAGCAAAGCTAATTTTTTAGTTAGCGGAACATGGGTTAACAAATCTAACTTTTTGGTAGCTATACCCTCCAATGCTGAGATCGTTTTAATCTCTATTACAAGTAAGATACTGACTACAGGTAAGTACCGGTAATCCACATTACCCCACTTTAAAAAAAAAAAAAAAAAAAACGAAAACTATATTCAAACATCTTTAAGACACATTTAAGGTTGTTTTGAATTCTGGCTCCTGGAAAAGATTTCAGCAAGTTTCATCAAGCGTTCTTTACAGCTTCCTATCTGCAGCAGAGAATTAAAACACCAGAAACTTGCAGACAGCTGAGAGGACCTTCAGGGTTGAGTAATAACTCTCTGAGTGTGCGTCACTTTGACACATCAGTTACACAGTTATTCCAATAATTGTCAACAAGCGTAACAACATTAAGTTTGACAGTTATGAACTTGAGGTTGAGATCGTGACCGGGACATGACGTTATAGGAAACAGTAACAAATAGGTTTAGTTAAAAAAAACTTCAAACTGTATGGTAAATATGAAACTAAGCAGTAAACGAGACTGAGAGAGATGAAACGGATAAGAATGAGTGGTGACACATAGCTACTGTAAATACCCTAACCGTCACATCCTCTTAAGTGCAAAGACAGTGTATTTTTAAACTTTAGAATGTCATTGCAAAGGCACAGAAACATATCAAATTTAAAGTGATGACTTGATAGAAATTACATTTTTCTTATAAGTCTGAGGCCATGGTCCTCAGTCGGAAAAGCGTGGATTGATCTCTTTGGGTCGAGGGTAAGGTTCTGCCTCAAGTAGAGGTCAAGTATCTTGGGGATTTGTTCACGAGTGAGGGAAGAATGGAGACTGAGATTGACAGATAGATTGGTGCTTCTGCAGTATTGCGGACTCTGTGCCGGTCCATTGTGGTGAAGAGGGAGCTGAGCTGTAAAGCAAACCTCTCTGTCTACCAAACAGTCTACGTTACTACCCTCAGCTATGGACATGAACTCTGGGTAGTTACTGAAAGAATGAAATTGCGGATATAGGTGGTTGAAACGAGTTTCCTTTGCAGGGTAGCTGGACTCTCACTTAGAGATAGGGTAAGAAGTTCAGTTATCCGGGAGAGATTCGGAGTAGAACCACTGCTCCTCCACATTGACAGGAACCAATTGAGGTGGTTCAGGCATCTGGAAAGGATGCTTCCTGGGAGCCTCCCTAGGGAGATGCTTTGGGCATGTCTGACAGGGAGGAAAATCCAGGGAAGACCCAAGACACACTGGAGCGACTTTAGTCTCTTGGTTGGCTTGGGAATGCATTGGAGTCCTTCCAGAAGAGCTGGAAGAGGTGGCTGTGGAAAGAGATGTCTGGGCCTCCCTACTCAAGCTGCTGCCCCCGCGACCCGGCGTCGGAATAAGCGGAAGATAATGGATGGATGGATAAAATACTTGGTTCAAGGTATATAGTTTATTTATAAAGTTGCTTTTTAAAAGACTACTTGTGCACAAGAATTAGTGTCAAATGGTTTAAGCTAGTTCTAACTTCAAACTGTAGGATTCCAGTCATTTCTGTAACCACTTCCTTGTAGCCTCTAAGTAGCAGGGCGGAACCATTTCCCCACAGTAAGTTAAGTTACTTAAGTAGTACAGTACTTACCAGTACTTAGACTTAAGTTACCTCCCTCCACGTGGATCCATCCCACATTTCACAGATCAAAACAGTATCAGAGAGTCTGTTAAATGCTCCTTCCAACTTCTGTCCACTCCCCGCCACATTGACAATCATCCTGCTTTCTCAGTTTGATGCATTCTTGATGTACACCGTAGGGGTCAGGGATCCTAGTGCATGGTGGATTGGGAGGGATACGGTCCTGAAGAGAGAGCATGGTTCCCAAGGTGTTTCATCCTCGACCCCAACCTCATCTCTTCTTTCTATCAGACCCATCCAAAAAATATTTTACATTGCCCAAGGCAATTATTGAGAGTAGGGTACTGTACGATTCCCATGTTTTCTGTAACCATTTCCTTGAAGCCTCTGAGTGGCAGGGCGGAGCCATACCACAGCTGATCCTGATCCTGGCTGACGAGCTTCTGGTGTACTTAAGGACTATTGGATCAGTACCTCCCCACAGGAACATTATGTAACCAACTGTCCTAACTTTGTGGTTCCTCTTGGTGGACATCCAGTCTCTTTGTGCCTGCTAGGTAAAACCTCTCTGTGAAACCTCCTCCTGGACCTCGCCAGTCTCTTCGCCATCAGCCTACAAACATCATCCCTGGATTAGTCTCTGACTTCTGTCCTTCCACTCTCCAACTCATTCTACTCACCTTTCTCACCAAAGGCTGCTATCCACCTAGGATTCTTCACCCTCCTCTCCAGGCTTACCAAACAAACAGGAGAAAATCCTACTTAAACCACTGGACAGTGTAAAAAGAAAAAATCACTTACCTATTACTTGACTGTATCAGTTTCTCCCTCAGTCCAAACTACCCTGGGTACTAAAATATATTAATACTGAAACAAACTGGTTGAACTACAACACACTCTCAATTCTTATTACAACATTTTGTCCCACTGGAACATCATCAACCATATAGGAAACTGACACACTTTCACCTTTTATATATATATATACAGGGATGTGTTTAAATAAAGATTGAATTAATGTTTGATTTAATCAAACGTCTAAAACAACCCTAAAATAATCTATGGTTCAAGAGTTAACAGAAATGCTTTTGCAATTATTCCTGAATGCAAACCCTTCACAATTTTTAATAATAATAATAATAATAATAATAATAATAATAATAATAATAATAATAATAATACTTTATTTGTATGACACTTGTTTAAACAAATGTTACAAAGTGCTTCACATTAATCAATTTAAACATCAAAAAACAACACCAGAAACACAAAAAGCATACCAAATTAATTAAAATACTAACAATATAAGACAAAATGAAAAATAAAAATACAAAGAAATTTAGATATTAAAAGCCTTATTATACAAATAAAATTTAACTAATGATTTAAAAGAAGACAATGAAGAGGCTGTCTAATATTTAGAGGAAGAGCATTCCACAAATTAGGAGTCCTGACCATAAAAGCCCTCCCTCCTTCTGCCACCAGTCGAGCTCTGGGAGTGGAAAGTAATAACAGATTTAAGGATCCGAGATAGCAAGAAGGGATGTAGGGGGTAAGCACTGACTTAATTATGGCAATCAAAAGACCACACAAACTAAAACATGGGCAGTTTGGCTCCTTTCTCATTAATGTCACTGTAAAATACAAATTTCATATTAAGAAGTAAAATAATGTCTTAATAAACAAAAATGTGTCTTTATGTTTCCTTTGAAGAAATATCTATTGATATGCTCACAAAAGAAATAATCCCAATAGCAACAACTCTATCTCAAGTTCATGTAATGGAGCGTTTAATGTAATGAAAGGCTCTGAATTGTCCACCTCGAGTTGAGATGACGACAGTATACCCACCTAACGCCTCGTGCTGCTGGCCCTGATGGGAATGTTTGAAGACGAAGAAGTGGTATCGAGGGGTATCTGTTGGAATCCTGAAGGGAAGCTCATGAATTTCTGTCGGTTTGGTGTGAACCAGCTCAATGGTCTCTTTATCTACATCCAGCCTCTGCAACACAACACACACACACACACGAGTGAGCAGATTTGACTGCATTCTACGGTCATAAACAGATCCATGCAGATTGTCTGCACAAAACATTTCATGTTGTTTCTTACACAATGTGCTAAAAGTACTGCAGATTTTCAGCCAGGGCTCACCAGCTGTATGTAATTGATGCGTTTCTGCTTGAGCTGCTGCAGAGCTCTTTTGGCATCTTCTTGTAAAGGGAACGCAAGACCCTGAAGAGTCTGTGCCCTCTTGTCTAAGCCAAACTCCATTGTGACCTGATGGAAAACACACACATGCAAAAGTCTGAAATCATCACTCCGTGCGTCGTTCAACATGAATTATGAGCAGAAACCGGATGAGGACTTAACAAACCCTCGCTCGTGCTGTTGGAGTCCCAATTCGTCTCCGTTCATCCTGCAGACAGAAAAGCAGATTTTAATATATTTAATTTTTGTTCTATAGCACAAAGCTAATAAAATCCTTATATATGTAAGAAAGAAGAACATACCCAAACAACTTTTTCCTGTCAAAAACAGTTGAAACACAATAAATAAGCACAAATTATAAATAGTTCATAATATATACAGGCAGAATGTGTTTTTTCTAAGTACCTCTGTGACTTTAATTCGTTGCAGCTCCTGCTCAGCTGTTGTGAGCGGAGCTGGAGACGAGCAGGAGGAGCTGTGGCGCAAGTATCCCTGAAAGCACAGGTCATCCTGCCAACAGACACGCTGCTTAATACCAAAACAATCTGATCAGCGATCATACCGGAGGGATTCTGACAAACCTCGACCGTGCCGAACATTTCGTCTTTGATGTGACCTCCTCCAAACTCTTTCTTCAGCGTGGCACGAGTCGCAGCGTACATCATCTTCTGCCTCACCTACAGAAAACAAGCCCACACAAGACGACAGGAATCACTTGACCTGCAGCTTTGACCATGTCAGAGACTCGTTTTCTACAGTTTGATTGATGCACCGTGTTGGTTTGTGAAGATCTGGAAGGCTGGTTCCTGCACACCACAGTATGAAAACTTAATTTGGGTGTATCTGCAAAATTATGTGCATGTAAGATACTGAATATTTCTTTTCATATTTATGAGTTAACAAGCTTAAGGTGTTCATCTTATATTGACATATACAAATTAAAACTTCAAATTTAAATAAAAAAAATGATTATTTAACTTGGGGGGGGATTGTTAATTAAACTAATCAAAATACTCTGAGACACAAGGACTTTGTACCTGTTTAAATGGATATTTTGTTGTTTTTAATATTTTACTTTATTTTATTTATTTATTTTGTTGATTCATACAAAACTGTTTCATGAAGTGGAATTCAGTTTTACACTTTTGCTGCTTGCACCAATTTTAGTATGTTAATTGGCTTTCAAGTATTTTTTTGTACATTAAACAAAATATAAAATGTAAAAAATTTGGATAATTTAGTTTTCATGTCACAAATTTTATTCAGTTTTTTTATTAGATAATTTTCTCACTGTGACTTATTTACCAAAATATACTGAAGTTGTTTTTTTCTTCTTAATACTTTTGGTAAAAGTTCCAGATTTAAATACTTAAATAATAATAATAATATAATAATAATAATAATAATAATAATAATAATAATAATAATATCATTAAAAATTATCTGGAATTCTTTATGTCAAACTTGAGCAATAATGCAGAATGCCAATAAAATTGATCAAAATTTAAAACTTTACTTTCTGCACAAAAAATATTTGGAATTAGTCCATAATTTGATGCATAAGCTTTGTTTGGATATTCAAAAATGACTTAAAATGTATCTAAAGCATACATTTGGGTATGCAACTTACAAATTAAAACATCAGACGTAATCCAGCCCTGTCACTTTGTTCAGGTGTGTCTGAACTTTACTTTTGAAGACGATGATTCAGCAATAATTAGTCATAACTAGTTAACATGTTCACAAGGGAAAGTTTAGAAATAAATCACCTACATAACTCTGTTTAAGAAAGTCACAGAAATTTCACAGTCGCTCAAGAAATTGCATTAGCGTACAAAAACCTTAATATCTTTTCTTTAAACGTACAATAGTAAAAAATATTATTTCATCTAAGTAATCAAACAAGTATTTTGGTGATAACACCACACTGGTATTCTTGGTACAGGTACTCTTCATGTATTATGGAGGACTCTATAAATTTTGTCCAGAATTGTTACATTTAAATGACTAAACATGAAACTGCGGCTGATTAGCGTCTTCAGACATACTGGTGATTGGTCAGGTGACCAGGAGATGAATATCCACTCGTATCCCTGTGCATTCTGGGAGTCCAGGCGGTAGAGGATGTAGCAAGGCTCCTGCGGTGTGAGAAGAGGAAGCAGAAACTGATCGTAATCCTTGTCCCATGTCTGCACCGGCTCTTTGAATAAATCTAGCACCAACTCTTCTGCAAAAAACAAAAACATATAAACACATTTTCACACATAAAATAGTCAAATACAGGCCGAACCTCAACGAGGTGCTCTTCTGAATACAAGACACAACGTCACTTTTACCATTTCTGATCACGATCTTCATGATTCTGATGGAACCTCCTCTCGCTCGGGCAAGGAACTCGTTCAGCTCGAATGTAGCTGCAGAAACCAGATATAAGGCAAAGTCAGAACGGAGGGCTGGCTGGTTAACAGCAAGTGAGACATAGTTTGGTAAGTAAGAACCTACGACTAGGCCTGTCACGATAACAAATGTTGCTGGGCGATTAACTGTCTCAGAAATTATTGCGATAAACGATAATATTTTTTGACATTTGACAATTATTAGTAATTATTGTCAAATTTAAGAAGAAATGTTGGTTAATTTGTTTTGCATGTAGTACCTTTTTTCGACCACCGGATGGCAGTATAAGACTGTTTGAACTGAAGGATGGATAGTGAGGGAGTGTGCAGCGTGTCTCTAAGAAAAATGGGAGGGAGGCCCCTTGACGTGACAAGGGCTGTCTCTCTTTGGTTCTCAAAATGGCAGACGCTCAGTGTGCTTTGAGTTCTTTAGCATAGCATTTTTCACACAAAGCTTTTAATAAAAAAAAAAAAAACATCAGTAAACAATTTCTCAGCTTCTTTTTGCAGAAAAAAAAACTTTTTACATGAAGGCACGGGTTTCAGCTGTGAATTTTGGAGCTTTGACAAGACGGAGGTTTTTTTACCTGAGGTCAACCTGTTAGCTTAGCTCGTAGCTTAGCTTCTCAGCTTAGCTGCTTTTAACCATTCAAAAACGCGATTTTGGATGGTTAAAATGGATTTTAAAGAGAAAAGAGAAAGTGAGGGGTCAGTGAAGAGCACAGGAGTTGAGCCTTTTGTCATCCAGTGTCTTCAGTAGAAAGAGAGAGACACAAAGAAACGATAAAGCCGATAAATGAAAACGAGGTTGATAATTTTAATTTATCATGCGATTAATTGATTTATCACGACAGGACTTCCTATGACTCCACTTATGAGTGAAAATTTTATCCACAGGTCACTTAATGTAACAAAAAGCTGTTTTTTGTTACATTTTTTAAAATACCATTTTATTTTCACTTGTTATTCTCAATTTGTACGCATCCTTTATGATTGTCTACTGTTGTCATCACTCTTTGTTAAAATCAGGTCTCTTGTAAATGAGTCCCCGAGGCTCAGTGGGATTAACCTGTAAATAAAAGTTGAATGAACTTAAACTGACTCAGTGGACTCAAACACTACTGACATACTTTAGTGACAGATGAAACTAATTAAAGTAACGATTGCTTTCCAAAGTACTTTTATCAAAGGAAACTACTTATTTGGTGTATAGTACTTCATCCTTTTGTCTCACCATGGTTACTGAACCCAGAGGTCTCATAAATGATGTAAGATCAGGTGAGAAAAGAGGTGCGCTTCCATCAACCGGACCTCTGACACACGTTACTAAATGCTAAAACACACACACACACACACACACACACACACCCACACACACACACACACTGCTAATAAACAATCTTTGGCTGAATGAGAGCAGTTCATAAGAGACAAACTGACTGTTTTATTTGAATATTTGAGGTGTGCAGCTTTTAGACATTTAAGTCCAAACATAATAATCAAGTTTAGAAGAACACTTTATTATAACAGTATATAGGTGAGGATGTGCTACTGGCACAAAAAGTCAGAAACAGCTCACTTGTATTAAAATCAGCTTCCTGCAGGCTTGCATCGTTATGCAGACTCACCATTAATTCCAGTTTGGTGCGACATCGTTTGGCAGTCAATATTCGCCGCTTCACGTACCGCTCATGCAAGAAAGACTAAGTCCAAGCCTCTGTGTGCTCTCCCAGCAGGTGAAGCGCCGCTCCTCTGATGGCAGACAGATGAACTCACACGTACAAGTGACATAAACGCATCGAGGGCGGCTCAGGAGCTTCCCAACACTTGAAACACAATCTGCGGAAGCGTGACTGATGAGTAATAATGCGCCTGTCAGTGGATACGCCACCCCAACAACTGATCTAAAACGCTTTGCATGTCAGTGACCGCAACTTTGTCCCAGGGTATTGGTGGGGTGGCGGCGGGTGGAGCTTGCTGAAGTCGGTCACAGATTGTCCTGTACCTGTCCGTCTTCAGAAAACGGTGATGATGACACCAGCGGTCAGCGGTGCGGGCTGTGCCAAATGTAATGACATTTTATCACCACTTCTCATAGAACGGCCGATCAACTCAGGCAGACGAAACTCCACCGTCTCAAATTCCAGCCACCTGGTCCCAGAAATGTGACACCAAGCGAGAATCTGACCGATACATTTCAGCACCGCTTCTCCATCACAGGTACCTGTGTTCAGTAGACTCTGTGCATTTGATCAGTGAATAAGTACAGGGAAAGGTAAGAGAGGGAAAGACACCTTTTCACAATTCGTGACGTGATATTCTAAGACATAAAAATATGTGATGTGGCTTTTAAAGGCAATAAACATCAATCTTCATTTAGTGTAAGACGAAGAGCTCCTAAAATGAGCTCTAAATGTACAAACAGGTCTTATCACTGACAACTATCAGATAAAAAAAAAAGGATAGACGAAGAATGTTAGGAAAAAATGTTAATGGTAAAAACTTTCATGCCTTATTTCTTCCATTTGTCTCTCTCACACACACACCTGCATATGGATGTGGGTGAGAGAAAGATAAGTGTGTACCTGGAGGTTACCTGTGATGGGATCATTCATTATTCACTCAGGGGTGAGTACACCACCCAAGCGTCTATACATTATTCAACATGGCTCCCACCCCTCTCCTCTACTTCGGGAAGACACACAAATACACACATGCAAACAAATACAAATGATCGTCTAACAAAATATAAATACTGTGCTACTCCCATGATTATGTGTCTGAACTTGAGTTTCAGAATTATTGCTGAGTCATGATCACGTTGTCATCTATAAAACAAATGTTCATACACTGATTCAAAACACAAAGGACAATAAACATGTAATGTTTTGTACAGAACATATGACTATATGAAGATCATTAATGGCCGCTGCTGAAGAGGTTTATACCTGTTTGTTTTTCTGTAGCGTTTGGAAATTTGTCTCAAGACCCGCTGGACAGATTTTAATAAAACTCTCAGAAAGTAATTGTTGAATGTGCATCTACAACTTGACTTTTGGAGCCATTCAAAATGGCCACTACAGCTAAGAGATTTTATTAAACACAAAAATGGTTAAAAGTCAGTGAATTTTAAATATACTGAGCAAAAATTTGATGTGAAAGTAGCTGAGCGTTACAAAAACTAAGCTCTAACTAGAGTTGCATTAGGGACTAAAAAACCCGACTTGGCCCGGCACTAGTCTGTAGGCATTTTGTCCGAGCCCAATCCGACTCAACTAATTAACAGTAATTAAGAGGCCTGAACCCGAAAATAAAACAAAACCTTTATTTAATAAGCTTTTACTGCTTTGGTAAACAAATCAGTTTGACATGATAGTTTAAAAACGTATTTCAAAGAAAGGAAGATATAAGATTCCTTGTATCACCAAATGGATATTAACATACTTAACAAATAGCCTAAAAAAATCAACTCTAAAGATAGGCTATTATACAGATGAACAAAAATATTTTCAGAGCAAAATTAGTTGGAAAAATATAGAACAAGGCTATTTTAATTGAACGCGCTGCTCGCTTCGGCTTTTGTAGATGCTACAACTTCTTCCACCACAGATGAGAGCGGAGTGTGGAGCGGACGCGCGTGGCCGATGATCCTGTGATCCATCTGAAGCTTAACGGGACTTTTTTTTCTTTTTTTTTAACCTTTATCAACCGGCTGGTCGCACCTGAGTGTGCACCTGACTGACACACATCAGCAGGTTTCACTGTGCTGGCTTTGTAGAGGGAGTTCTCCTGTTTTTACCTTTTGTTTAATACTTTCCAGCTCCATTATGTCGCTTGTAGTGGGTCAATTGCAAATCCTCAGATGTGTGATAAGAGCAAAGGGTGGGCGGGGCCACATGCGCAATTGCTGTGCAATGTGCCAGCTACTCTCTCTTTTCAGTCTGATTAACTGTTGCACTCTATTTTATTTCTTTCTCATTCTCAACATATAAACGTACTGCCTCCTCCTCTACAAGTAGATTAACACAATTTTATATTGTGCATTCTTATTTAGTTTTCTTTCAGGTCGAGCATGGGCTCAGGCCAGAAATCACAACTCTAGCTCTAACACATTTCACAAATCTCACAAAATCAAAAACAATTGTACTTCACCTACCGGTAATTTAAAAACTGTCATTTTTCAACATAAGATGATCTTGGTTTAAAACTACAGCATGGAAGACAACGGGTGATATGCATTCCTTCAAAAAATGCTTGGCATTTAATTGATTTATTTAAAAACATTATTAATGTTTTTTTACTTTAAATAGCCACTCCTGCATTGCAGCATCTTAAATATGAATCTGTCCACTTGCATTTTGTTAAACATCATGATGAATATATTTGATTTTAAAATGTTGGTTGATCTAAAACAAAATGGATGATCAAGGTGTCGGTGCCAAAAAGAAAAAAATTAACTGTCTCTTTAAAATAGAAAAGTTTATTATCAAATACTTGAACTATAAAAACAGTAAATAGAATAATTACAAAAGTTCAGCTTATAAAAGTAACACAAATGCATCTGAATTGTAATAAAAACTTTTTTTTTTTAACAAAATGTACTTTTTTTCTGCTAACACTGCATCAAGTTTTCCAACATTTTCAGAATACGGATATGCAAAACATAACATCTTAAAATGTAAAAACATGTTTGTCTTTAGGTACAACCTTTTATTAACAAGTTTCTTTTTGTGCTAAAAGAGTTTGTATCATAAAATGATGTCACCTCCGTCTGTGGTGAAGCTTTTTGGTCCTTCTACGTGTCAACACCACACGGGAGCCAAAACATCTGGGGAAAAAAAAACCAAGAAGAAGAACTAAATAAATTTTCAGATGAAAATCAGTGTGAATGCTTACTGCTGGATGATTTTCGAAAAAGTTTAAATCGAACTAAAAAGGTTTCTTTACTAAACTGTTAATGGGAGTTAAATTTGAACAGCTGACATTTGCTGAAAGCAGGAAAATAAAAGCTGAAAGCAAAAGAAAAATGGCAGAAATGTGTATAAAAAGCTAAACAGAGCAGAAAAGTAGCAGAATAAGCTGAAACAGACAGACAGAAGCTGAACAGATGCCAAAAAAATGAAATTAGTTAAAAAAAAAAAGCAGCTGAAAAAGCTAAAAAAAAGAATTTGAAAGTAGCAGAAAGCAGCAGAATATCTGAAAACAACTGAAATGAGCAGAAAGAAGCTGAAAGAAACTGAAGGAAGCTGAAATTTGCACAAAGAAGCTAAAAAAAAGCTGAAATGAACAGTTTGTTGTTGCACATGCTTTGAAGGAAGAGAAGGGAGCTCCATTCATTTTCAATGAGAAAAACATGGCCGATAAAGCTAAACATTTCATAAAAATTGCACAAGTACCAAAAGTCATGGCAGAAATGTCCTGAATGAGCTGAATGTTTTGATTGATGAAGCATTGAAATATTCCCCAAAAGTGTGGAACGATTTACGTGCCAAAAAACGTATGAAGGAAAAATGGATCTCAGTAGTGTGAATGATTTATAAGCCTTCACGCTGTTAACAGGCTTTTCCCAGCAGCCTCTCTGTGAGAGATTCATGTAAAATGTTTGTTCTCACCATGCTGGAGCAGGCGCTGGCGAACGTCATGTACAGAGGGTTAAACTGCAGAGTGTTGATCGGTCCTTGATGCTTTCCATCCAGCACGGCCACCTTCATCCCATTCTCAATGCTCCACACGTGAACTCTCCCGTCTTCCGAACCTGCACGAGACAAGATTCTACTACACATTCTCCACATTGAAGGAAAACAGCCAAATATAATCCTCAAATACGGCAGCTTACCGATCATAACAAACTTTGAGTCTGGAGTGAAGCAGGCCTCCAGGGAGACGCCTTTACTGTTGTTGTAGCCCTGAAATTCAGAAAACATTCTGCTACTTACAGTAACCGCACCGACGTAAAAACAGATGACGTGCAGCAGAAATGTGGCGAGTCTTACTGAAAAAGTGTACAGCACAGATCCGTTAAAAGAATTCAGGATGCGAATAGCTCCGCCGTTCGTACAAATGAGAATGTGCTTCCCATCCTTACTGAACTTGAGTCCAGTCCAGTCACAGACACGTTTAAACCTGGTCTCAATGCAGGAAAATGGACCCTTGAATGAGAAAACATTAACATTTGTATATGAAAGCTCTGGTGTTTTATGGTGGAGTGCTATGAAAAGCTTCTGAACAGTTAGTATCTTACCTGTCATAGATAGAGCTTTGAATGTTATTTTAAATAAATACAAACGAGTTTTAACTGGATTGATGAACTAGTTTGAGCAGAGCGAAGGCCAAAGTGTTCTTAAAACAACTTCAGTCTTAAAATGTTAACAGCAGTCCAAGGTAAACCATATTTCATAAACATGTACACTGCGGTAAATATCCAACAGGTGTTTACATTACATTCAATTCCAAGTTTATTTTGCCAGTACAAAAAGGTCAGCAGCAACTTGCTGTAGTACTTCCTGCAGGACTATCCTAATATTTCCTCTAGAATAATTGAAAACTATGTAACTGACAATAACGTAAAATGGTTGAGGAAATAGAATTTACAGTATATTTTAATGAAATGTTGTGAGACTTAAGATGACACCAAACCACTTTGGTCTTGAGGTTTCTCAAAAAAAAAAAAAAACAACAACTACAAACAGAGACAGCTGGTATTAATGGGTTAACAGGGCTAAGCATCGTGTACAATAAAAAAAATGTAATTACTGTAAAACAAATGCGTATTTAGACAAATTGTGCTTTGTGTGCGAGTACTGACCCATGCTCAATAATCCAGTTAGATAAATCTAACAAGGTTGAGTCAGGTCCTCTGGGCGGATTCTTTTTTGTTGAAACGTTTCATCTTTTATCCATAAGACATATAAACATCATCTTCTTATAGTTTGCTGTTGACAGCCAAAATTAGTTGTTCCCATGCAAAAGGAGGACCATCAAACTAACAATTCATTGTTAGTGCCCTGATGGACACTTGCTATTCTCAGAGAGCTGAGTGATAGTTGCAATAACAGCATTGTAAGAGGGGGGCAGTTTGACATGGAGACCTCCGCCTCGTTTAACAGTGGACAGGTTCTCGTCACAAAGATGGTTTCCTTTACTGCTCTCTCGAGCCAACGTTCCTCTCTATCAGGCTGTGCTCATCTTCATCCTTAAGAGTGACAGCTGGTCTGCAGATGAGCTTCTACGTGCATTCCTGTTGAGGCAGTAGAGACGGTCTGTCTAAGGTTAAAATCAGACACCACTCTTGGCAGCAGGACAACTCTTTCCACAGAGCAAATGTGTCAACTCTTGAAACTGTGCCTGCAGTCAACCTACTTCATTATAGGCAGAAACATGGGTGTGCTATGGGGTCTCCAGTTTCTCCTGTTGTTGCCAACCTGTACATGGAGGAGGTACAAAGTAGAAAAGAGAGCCTTGACGTCCTTTTCAGGAACACCACCAAGTCATTGGTTCAGGTATGTTGAACACACCTTGGTTAAAATTAAATCTCAGGAAGTCCAACATTTTACTGACCACATCAACTCTGTGGATAAATACATCAAGTTCACACGAGAAGATGAAAAAAAATGGCAGGTTGGCTTTCTTGGACTGTGAAGTCTCAGTCTCTGATAGAGGACATTTGCAAACTGAGGTGTACCACAAACCCACCCACACAGACCAGTATTTGCAGTTTGACTCCCATCACCCTCTGGAGCACAAGTTAGGAGTCATCAGGACTCTGTACCAGAGCAGACAGCATCCCCACTAACTCAGGAGCCAGGTAGAAGGAGAAATCCCACACAAGACAGGCTCTAGAGCAATGTGGATATCCTAACTGTGCCTTCCTGAAAGCAGAGAAGAAACCCAAACAGGAGGAACCCAGACCCAGACCAGTGGTCATTCCATATGTTGAGGGGGTATCAGAGAAACTGAGACGTTTATTTTCTAAACACAACGTCCCAGTGGCTTTTAAACCCCAAAATACATTATGGCAAAGACTGGTTCATCCCAAAGATCCAGTCCCCCGGCACAAACAGAGTAATGTTGTGTATGCTGTTCAGTGTCAGGAGGGCTGTGATCAGTCTTACATCGGGGAAACTAAACAGCCACTGGCCAAAAGGATGGCCCAGCACAGAAGATCAACATCATCAGGCCAGGACTCTGCGGTCTACACTCATCTCCAGGCCAGCGGTCACTCTTTCAGGGATGAAGATGTTCACATCCTGGACAGAGAGGAACGATGGTTTGAGAGAGGAGTAAAGGAGGCCATCTTTGTGAAAAGAAATCGTCCATCATTAAACAGGGGTGGAGGCCTCCGGGTTCAACTGTCCCCCTCTGTTACTGCTAGTATCAATCAGCCCCCTGAGAATAGCAAGTGGCCAACGACCAATTGTTTGGCTGATGGTCCTCCTTTTGCATGTGAACAACTAGTTCTGGATGTCACCAGCAAACTGGTTAATCCACTACAAGAAGGTGCTGCTTATAAGACAGAGTTTGTTGCAGCTTCTCAGACTGAAGAAGTCCTTTGGATAAACAACGAAACATTTCAACAAAGGAGAATCTGTCCCGATGACCTGACTCAACCTTGTTAGATTTGTGTGTGAGGTTTGTTTTTGCGCTCTTGCTGTTGATTCCATTGTGGTAAAAATAGACATACCATCACATCTTGAACCTTACCTTGTCAAAAGCACGAAGGTCGTACAGTTTAATCTCATGTGATCCAACCCCTGTAGCAAATATTAACCCATCTGGATCAAACGAACAAATAGGTTTCCCCATTGTGTTGATTACACCCTGAAACACGAATATATACAAAAAATAAGTAAAAGATTGGAGTTAATGAAAAACTGTACCCTTCACACATTTTCTATTGTAGCTTTAGTGTTGGTCCAGTTTTACTTCTGAGCAGAACCATCTGTAGCTCAGAGCGATCAGAGTGATCCATAATCAGCAGATATTTGTCAAAGTTTATGGTTTAGTTATCTGACATTAGATATGCAGAACTTTAATGTGAAGTATTATAAGACTGTGTTTTTACATAACATCACGCACCTGACAGGTGGGCAAACGCAGGTCCCAGATGCGGACTGTCTCATCCAACGAGCTGGAGATAAATATATCCTCCACTGGAGACATGGAGAGCGCAGTAACCCTGATCACACACACAAAAAACATTTTATTCACTAAATTTTAGCTATCAGTTTAGATAAGGCAAACTAAAAAATTTAAACTTTCTAAGAGATTCATTAAAATCCATAAATTCACGAGATATTTCGCTAACAGACACGAGCAAAACATTATCACCTGCCTTCCCTTTAGTTCAGAGGCAGCAATAACTGCATATATTATTTTTTTGTTGCGTGATAAAAAAAATAAAAAAAACTCCCAACTTTCCTACAAAATAGAGCTTTTTCTACTTAAGTAAAAACAAAAACTAAGTCTTGAGTTTACTAAACATAATATTCCATGCTCTTGTGCACAGATTAGGTTGGAGAGGGGTGGGACACTTTGGAAGTCAGTCCAGACACATATTTTGTGTTTTGTCAACAACGTTTCATTAGGATGAACTTGCCGAGTTTCTAAAATAACTCTGAGGTTGGTGCAGACCAGACAGAGCTGCCACTTCATCTCAGCTGTAGTTGGTCCAGGTTTGTTGTCGGTACACACAAGGAAATGGTGCACCTAACACAGCTCTGGAAACACTGAACCCACCCACATAACGCAGCACGGTTTATCGTTTACTTACTCATGCCAGGGTATTGGATAAATCAAGCCAGCCACAACATTATGACCAATAAAGAGGAACAATCTTCACAATGCAGTGTTCTCCCTATACTGTAGCATTCATGTCACTTTGACGCTATTGTAAGCTGTTTTACTGACCGGTCACATCATCAGTGTGTTTTTAAATAAGTGTTTTGGACAATTTTGACCAGCTCTCGTTCAAAAACTACTCAAACTGTTCAAACCTGGAGTACACTGTTCTATACTAAAACGCAAATTCAGTGAAACATTTAGGCTCTTTGTGAAAATTTAAAGACTGGGTGTTTTAGTGCTTTTTGGAGTATCTGGACAAGAACAGGTCCAGTTTCAACTTCTCGTTACTGTTTAACGCCTGTCTTTTGAAAACTATCTTCGCCCGGTGTTTTGAGACAAAACAGCTGCTTGAAGCCACCTTCATGTGGGCCCACCACCTGTGGAACAGCCGGATCGGCTGCCACTTGCTTCTATTTAGCGGGCGGCTGTGGCTGAGTGGTTAGAGCAGTCGTCCAACAATGCAAGAATTGGGGGTTCAAATCCACCAGCAGTCATATATTGAAGTGCCCCTGGGCAAGACACTGAACCCCTCATTGCCTCTGATGTGTGTCTCATCAGTGTATAAATATGATAAAGCTCTGATTATAGTCTCTTTAGAATGATTTGTTCAATTAGCTGTCTAGAGATCTAGTAGAGTGCTGTATGAATGGGTAAGTGAGGCACAGATTGTAAAGTAATTTGAGTATATTGATAAGACAGAAAGGCGCTATATAAGTACAGTCCATTTACCATTTTATTTATGGGTTCAAGCCCGTGGAGGCAAGGGAACCTGCAGTGTTTCCATGTTTCCAGCAGAGCATGGAACCTTATTCAAACTGTTCTGGTTTATGATTATTATTTAACTCACAGAAATAAAAAAGTTATACTGCAGAGTGTTAGCAATTCAATAATGTGAAAACTAAAAGCCCTGTCTAACCAAATCTTAGCAAAGTTTGACAACTTGGGGGCGCAAAAACACAACAACCAAATTATCCAATAATGCAAATTTTGGATTTCTTCAAAACTTTCAAAGTGGAATATGTAATAAATTTGATAGGAGGGGAACACAAACACACCCAAAAACACTATTGCACTTTGCATGCATTCAATGAATCATTTATCTACTTCAAGCAATAAATGGTTTCTATTCCACTAACCTTCAATCTCTATGAGCAGCTTTGGGACATAAAGAGGCATCAAGATTATGACTTATGAATCTACAACCAAGTGGTTTGACAGGTTCTTGGGAGGATTGGGGAGGGGGAAAGGTTGAGATGGGGGGTGTGCAGTGGAGGTCTTGGGACCCCTGTCATCACTGCTTGTGGTTTCAGTTGAGCTTGTTCCTGCTGCAAGTTGTGAATTACTCACCGTGCGGTGTGGCCAGGGAAATATCGAAGGAACGTGTTGTTCGTGAGCGACAGGTATCGGATTGTATCTAAAAGGCACAAAACAAAATCTGTTTTGCTTTTTCTTCTTAAAGACACTAAATATTTGTGTTTCTTTTCAAATAAAAAAGACACGCGTGTTGGTTTATAATGGTAGCTGACTGCCAAGAGCACCAGGCTTTTACCATCTTGTTTGTTGGAGCTGTACACCACAGTTTGAGTGTCTCTGTTTGTGAAGCGGATGAGGTCTACTCCATACTTCATGCTGTACAGATTCCCATTAGGCCTGAGAAAGAAGAAACACACGTGTTGGCATGGTACAAATAAACATATAAAAAAAACATGCATGTTAAGCTGCCTTAAGGCCCAGGCTTCCCTTGCAAAAGAGATCTGTGATCTCAATGGGATTTGTCTGGTTAAATAAAGGTTAATAAATAAATAAATGCATATGAATTTAATCCATGAAGCAGAGGTGCACCTAAATGTTATAATCCCCTGCTGGCCACTTACTTTCCCTGTTGGATGTCATATATTACAATGGAGTCGTCGTCGCTGCTTGATACAGCACTTTCACCATTTGGGCTGTAGTCTACACAGTTAACTTTGTTGAGACTATACGTCCTGGCAACCTTAAAACTCCGTAAAACCTTGTCTGTGATCTTCATAGCTTCGATTTATACAAAAACATAAAAACAAGGCGTGCTTCGGCTCCTTGTTTGATCTAATTACGCTCAAAAATCATTTTGGGTCGATTAAGAAATGCGTTATATGCGTTATTAAATATGACTCTTGTTGTATTACGGCTTAGTTCTTCGACAATAACAAGAAAAAGCGCATTTCTATACACACGTGCGTATTAAAACCCGAACAAGTGAAGGCATCAAGTCGTTTTGATAATAACCACCACCTCAAGAGGGGCGGTGTGCACGCGTTGACGTTAAAATCAAACGCTTCAACAGTCAGTACAAGTAAAGTGAATAAAACGAGCGCCCCTCCATCATACGGAAACAGGAAGTGGCGACACTTCACAGGAAAGGCAAACTTTGGCAAGAATTGAATTCAAAATAAAAGTGGTAGGTGGTGCGGAACCAAAAATAATATGAGAATGAATGTTTAAATTTGGACCAGGGGCATTGCTAGACAAAAAGCTATACATGGGCACATCACAGGGTAAGAAGCTACTTAAAACAAACAAACAAACAAACAAAAAAAACCCAGCCCTGTTCCCGTACTTTGTAAGTACCCTGATTAACAGCCCTGTAGGCCAAAGTACCCTATAATTACCCTTTATCTAGTATATAATAAATACCTTCATACTCATCTGCTCACACAGACTCATTTTCATGCTGCTGTTGTTTGGCGTATTGTTTTAGGACTATTAGTGCTTAGTGTATTCTTAGTTTAGCATGTCGGTATTTCTTAGTTCTTATCTCAGATCTTACTAGTGTTTTTCACCCTATGTACACAATCTCGTTCCACCACATGTACCACATGTGGCGCAAACGACAAATAAAGAAACTTTGACTTTGACTTTGACTGTGGCTGAGTGGTTAGTTGTCTGCAAGAGTTGGAGGTTCAATTCTACCAGCAGCACATGCCAAAGTATCTCTAAGGCACTGAACCACTCATTGCCTCCGATGTGTGTCCCATCAGTTTATGAATTTGATAAAGTACTGTATATTCTTTGTACAGACATAGTAGAGTGCTGTATGAATGGGTAAATGAGGGCACAGATTGTAGTGTAAAGCGCTTTGAGTATCTTGATAAGATAGAAAGGCGCTATATAAGTACAGTCCATTTACCTTCTTATTATCCTGTATGTACCCCTGTGAAAACCTGTAATTACCTGTAAGTTCCACCAATTTCCTTATGCACCCTATTACCCTGTGGTTACTCCATAAGTACCCTGTAGTTATTGTGTAAGTATCCTGTACATACCCATGTAAGTACCCTTTGTATACCTTTGTAAGTATCTTGTTAGTACTCTATAATTAGCTTGTGTGTACTGCCATAAGTACCCAATATGCACTTTGCTTGTCACTCTTCACCTCAAAAGCTTTACAGATTTAAACTGTCTGTGACACATGCCCCAGTAAAATGGGTCTGGCAACATATGATCTTAACCATGAAGAAATTGTTATTGTAGTTTTCTTGTCCCATTTTCTGCAATAATAAAAGTATTCTACTAATATAAAGACAAAGAACAAACATGCCAATCAATAGTTTGTTAGCCAGATTATCAATTAACTCATTTAAATTTGAGCCATAAAGTGTGGTCTATCTCTGAAATCCATGAAAAAATATATATATTTTGCACTTTTAAAACTAGTTGTGGGAAGACAAAAAGAAACAAAGTTCAGCCAACATATTAATATGTTAGGAGTCATTGAAATCAGGCGTTCTGCAAAAATATGAGAAGTCATTTACAGAACACTAAGGATTTAAAGATTTGGTAAATGAAGATAGGGTATTTATCAATTTTGCACAAATAGGGACTCCAAATTTCAGTGGTTAAATTAGTTAAAATGGGGTACACAAAAGATTTTTCAAATTTTTACGAGTTTAGTCTTTTTGTCATAAAATGGATGAAAACTGATAAATGTCATCTGTTTATTTTAGCTTTTTAATGTCAAAATGTAACAAGTTAGTTTTTAAATGTTGTATATTAAACGAAACAAGTTGATTTTTTTTCTTTTTTTAATTTTGACTTAAAGCAGCCTTTGCAACTTTGGACATTTTTTTGTTTTATTTTATTTTGATTTATTTTATTTTATCAATTAGGTGAAGGAAGGACTGACTCTGCCAATCTTTTCCTAACTTTCATAACAAAATATAATGCTGAGTCAACATTATGAGCCACCAGCGCACATGCTGCTGAAGATTCTCAGTCATCCAGGACATGGTAAATACAAAAACAGGTTAGAGACAAAACTCAAAATAAAGTCGTTTTTTATTTATTTATTGTCTTTAACCTTTGTTTTGGAGCCACCACATATACATATTATATTCTATTGTATGTATGTTACATGATAATAATAATAATGCTAATAATAATAATAATAATAATACAAATATACTAAAAATTATTACTATTATTATTAACATTATTGTTGTTGTTGTTTTCATCATCATTATTATGATGAATGTTACTTTAAAGATTACTAAAACTGATCGTACGAACGCCTTTAATTTGAAAGGTTTGACCCGGATGTGACGTCAAGATTGTGTTTTTAGCCTTGTGCGCGTGCTTTAGCTTAACGTTGTCAAAATGAACGCCTGTAAAAGGTTAGTTTCTCTAGGTGAACGAACTTTTACCCAAAACATTTTCTTCTCGGTGGTCAAATCGCGGACAAACGGACAAGAAGCGTCTCTCGGTCGGAGTCAGAGCACCGCAGCCCACCGCTCCCAGGACTCCGACACCACGGTGACCGGAGAGAAACTCGGGCTGAGAGCCATCGACCTGGCCCAGAAGGTCCAGCAGGAGAAGGCGAAGACAAGGGCGGCGGCGAAACCTCCTCCGGTGTCGGGCTCTGAGGGAAGAGTGGCGGAGCTGAAACGGTTCAGTCTGCAGCTGCAAAACGTTCATCCCAACGTGCTGGCGAAACACCTCCACAAAAGCGTGCTGTACCGGGATAAAGATGTGGTCATCATCAACAAACCGTACGGTGTCCCTGTTCGAGGTAAGAATGGAACTGTTTCTTTAGAGTGTTAGATATGCACTTTTCTCCTCAATTTACTTGGTCCACACATAAAACACGATATGATTTTAACTGCTATGACCTTTATCTTCTTATTTCGGTTTTTCTCACTTCATGGATTGCCACAGAGTCATCCTCCTCCATGTCCTCTGCGTCCTCTGTCCTCACTCCAACTACCTCCATGTCCCCTCTAACTGCATCCATATATCTCCTTTGCCTTTTTCCTGGCAGCTGCATTTCTAACATCCTTCTACCAGTATACCCACTGTCTTTCCTCTGGACATGTCCAAACCATCTCAGTCTGGCCTCCCTAACTTTATCTCCCAGTTGTTCAACCTGTGCTGTACCTCTGATGATCTCATTCCTAATCTTATCCATCCTTGTCACTCCTACAGAAAACCTCAATTTCTTCATTTCTGCCACTTTGAGTTTTTTCTCCAGTCTTCTTGTCAGTGCCACTGTCTCCAGACCATACAACATAACTGGTCTCACCACTGTCCTGTAAAAATTTCCTTTGACCTTTGCTGACACCCTTTTGTCGCAAATCACTCCTGAAACTTTTCTCCATCCACTCCATCCTGGCTGTCCTCTCCTTTTCACCTCTTTAACACACACCATTTTTCTGGACAGTGGACCCCAAGTTCTTGAAGTCCTGCACCTTTGTGACCTCTGCTCCTTGTAGCCTCACTGTTCCACCGGCCTTCTTCTCATTCACACATGTGTGCTCTGTCTTACTACAGCTGACTTTCGTTCCTTTTCTTTCAAGTGCATACCTCCACTTCTAAATTCTCTTGCACCTGTTCCCTGTTCTCACCACAGATCACAATGTCATCTGCAAACATCATAGTCCATGGGGATTCCTGCCTGACCTCATCTGTTAGTCAGTCCATTACCAGAGCAAACAAGAAGGGGCTCAGTGCCAATCCTTGATGCACTCCCACCTCCACCTTGAAGCTATCTGTCACTCCTACAGCACATCTCACCACTGTCCTGCTGTCCTCGTACATGTCCTGTACCAGTCTAACATACTTCTCTACCACTCCATATTTCCTCATGTAACACCTCCTCCCTCAGCAACCTGTCATATTATGCTTTTTCTAGCTCCACAAAGACACAATAGAGTTCTTTCTGACCCTATCTGTACTTCTCCGTCAGCATCCTCAAAGCAAAGATGGCATCTGTGGTGCTCAATCTTGGCATGAAACCTTACTGCTACTCACAAATAGTCACCTCTGCTTATTTTTAAAAACAAGGGTGATGTACTACAGATGAATTAAGTTAATGAGCCACACAATGAAGATCTGGGAGAAAGTTGTGAAAGATAGACTTAGATGAGAGGTGACTGTGAGCAGCAGTAAGGTTTCATGCCAAGAATGAGCACCACAGATGCCATCTTTGCTTTGAGGATGCTGATGGAGAAATACAGAGAGGGTCAGAAAGAACTCCATTGTGTCTTTGTGGATCTAGAAAAAGCATATGACAGAGTCCAACAATTTTCAGTCCGGTCATCTGGACAGTTTCTTTTTTTGCTGAAACGTTTCACCTTCCATCCAGAAGGCTTCATCAGTCAAGGAAACACAAAACTGATTCTTCCCCCAAACAGCTTACTCCAAAGTGGAACAAACCAGTTATGTTGGTGCTAAGATGGTGTCTTTGGCACACCCCCTCCACTGGTGCCGGCCCTCTTCCTCGTCGACAGTCATGTCAAACTGGTTCAAAACCAAAAAAGTCCACGCTCAATAATCCAGGTTACAATCCCAACAATTTTCCGTCAGGTCATCTGGACAGTTTCTTTTTTTGCTGAAACGTTTCACCTTCCATCCAGAAGGCTTCATCAGTCAAGGAAACACACAACACAAAACCGATTCTTTTTCTGGTTTGCTATGACGTTTATTAATGTAATAAAATACTAATTTCATGAGGCAGACACATAAAAAAAACCCCATTGTTTTAAAATCTTGGTAGAGCAGCATCAGCCCTTTAAATGCTATTTTTTCCATCCAAAAGTTAATATTTAGTGGCTAAAGAATACCTTAATATATCTATAATAATTAATAATGGGTGTCAGGTAATACAATTATTGTACTGCTTTTCCTCTCCTGAGTACATTATAAGATTCTGGGGATAAACTTTACAATCAAGCACATTCAGAAACACAAAAAAGCCTGTTTGCAAACAGCTTTGTCATGGGGAAGAATCATTGTGATCCCATCATCCTCCATCACTCTCTTTGATGAGAATGGACTGAAATGTGGCCCTGCCCAGAATCTTTAGTTCATGATTGCATGTATTCCCCTGCTGTTGAACCTAAAGTAAAATCTGTATTGTAAAAACAAATACGCATGCTTTATTAAAAGTTCTCAGTGTGTGTTTAAATGGGAATAACTTCTCCAGTACAGGAAATATCTAGAATAACACTTCAAAGTTTTTGTCCGAGCCTTGTCTCTGACGTCTGCGTTCGCTTCTGTTCCTGTTATTCAGAGATCCCTGGAGTCACGTCCATCTCTTCTGTGCTTCCCGTTCTTTCGAAAATGATGGCCGGGACGAATTTAAAGACTGACTCTCAACTGTTCCCCTGCATGAGTCTGGAAAAGGATTCAACTGGAACGCTCCTGCTGGCCACAAGCGAAGAAACAGTAGAGCACATACTTAACCTGAATAAAAATAATCAAGTCCAGAGGAAATATTGGTGAGATACTGAAAGATGATGTCATCATTGTCAGCTATATGTTTTGTTTTAAAGGATGTGTTGTTGGTCTCTAACAATTAATCTGTTCCTCAGGGTTGTCACAGTTGGTGTTCCTGTACCGTCTGAAGGACTGATTGATATTCCTATGTTGGAAAAAGAGATTACAGGTTCTCAGCCACACTACAAGGTACTGTTTCTTCTGTACATTGGATGCTGTAACAACTCGTTTGTTAACGAATGGTTATTGAAAATGAGCTAATTAGTAAAAAACCTAAACCTGTCCCAGTTGTAGCCACAGTTTAGCTAAGTAAACAATATGTGCACAATATGACATCAAGTGAAGTTTATTCGTTTTTTAACAATAGTTTTAACTAAATCATTTCCAGTTATCTATTAGTGGAAGAGCTGGAAAAACGATTCTACTGGTTCAGATAAATTCAGAGCTTTTGTAATTGCAGATGGCTTTGAGTCCGTGTTTCAAAATGAACGACACAGGAGATGGTTTGAGTAAAATCCGAGGCCATCGTCAAGCAGACCCTGCAACGACCAGGTACAAAGTCCTGGACAGCAGCAGTGGCTGCAGCCTCATCGAGCTCCAACCTTATACTGGTAAGAGTACTTATTGGGAACAAGTTGCAAATCAGTTTAACCCCCTTCAGGGAAATTGGACTTAATTTTTTTTTTAAATTTTCACAGGAGTGAAGCACCAGTTGAGGGTTCACATGGCATTTGCTCTGGCTTGCCCCATACTTGGTGACCATAAATATTCCCACTGGAGCAAACTGGCACCACAGGTGAAACATGTTTACGATATGATAGAAAATAGAAGACAGGAGCAGTACTGTCAATAAGTGGTTCAAAGTATACTGAACAAAAATATAAACGCAACACTTGTTTTTGCTCCCATTTTTCATGAGCTGAACTCATAGATTGACTTTTTCAATGTACACAAAAGACCTTTTTTCTCTCAAATATTTTTCACAAATTTGTGTAAATCTGTGTTAATGACCATTTCTCCTTTGATGAGATAATCCATCCACCTCACAGGTGTGGCATATTAAGATGCAGATTAGACAGCACGATTGTAGCAAAGGTGAGCATTAGGCTGGCCACAATAAAAGGCCACTCTAAAATGTACAGTTTTATCACACAGCACAATGACACACACGTCACAAGTTTTGAGCAGTTGGCATGTAGACTGCAGGAATGCCCAATAGAGCTGTTGCCCATGAATTGAATGTTAATTTCTCCACCATAAGCCGTCTCCAAAGATAATTCAGAGAATTTGACAGTACATCCAACCAGTCTCACAACCACAGACCATGTGTAAGCACACCAGCCCAGGACCTCCACATCCAGCATCTTCACCTCCAAGATTGTCTGAGACCAGCTACCTGGAGAGCTGCTGCAACAATCCGTGTGCATAACCAAAGAATTTCAGAGCAAACTGTCAGAAATCGTCTCGGGGAAGCTCATCTGCATGCTCGTCGTCATCACTGGGGTCTCCACCTGACTGCAGTTTGTCATCGTAACCGACTTCAGTGGGCAAATGCTCACACTCGATGGCGTTTGGCATGTTGGAGACGTTCTCTTCCTGAATGAATCCTGGTTTTCACTGTACAGGGCTGATTGTGTGTATGGTATCATGTGGATGAGCGGTTTGCTGATGTCAGCTTGAGTTGAGTGGCCCATGATGGCGGTGGGATTGAGCAGGCCTATGTAATGAACAACGAACACAGCTGCTGGTTTAGTTACATGTGGTCTGTAGTTGTGAGGTTGCTTGGATGTACATGTACTGCCAAATTCTCTGAACATGAACATGGCTGCAGTCAGCATGCCAGTTGCACAGTCCTTTACAACTTGTGACATCTGTGGCATTGTGCTGTGATAAAACTGCACATTTAAGAGTGGCCTTTTATTGTGGCCAGCCCAAGGCACACATGTGGATTATTGCACATCATCATGCTGATGCCACACCTGTGAGGTGGATGGATGGTCTCGGTGAAGAAGCGCTCACCAACAGATTTACACAAATTTGTGAACAATATGTGAGAAAGGCCTTTTGTGTACATAGAAAAAGTCTTGGATGTTTTGAGTTCAGCTCACGAAAAATGGGAGCAAAAACAAAAGTGCGTTTATATTTTTTGTTCAGTGTATATGATAAAAAGATAAAATGGTTAGATTTGGGGAAATAAGAATGAACACCTTGATTTAGCAACAAAGAATTAGCAAACATAAAAAGGCAACAGTGATGTGTTTTTTTCTGTCATACAGGTCACGTTTGTGGATTTAGTATATTTTTCTTTAGTTTTATTCCTGTATAAATTGGGAAATTACAAAAAAATTATATTTTTAATATAGATTTTAAAAATATATTGTATGTACTGTACACCACTTTAATAGTTCTTCACTGCTGACACATCACCACTACTGTCTGGTTTTAAATAGTTAAAAATATAGAAAACATATTTTCTTTGGACGAGTTTGTTGTGACTGCATTATAATTTGAAGTTACACTATGAATGGTCTTAAAGTGTCGGACCCAAATCACCATCTTGATTACTGTTAGTCGTTTTATAACATATGAAAGATAATGGCATTTTGCTTGCTCACATCAGTTTACCACCAATGAGCCAGAAGATTTAATTTTTGCATCTTAATTTCTCTACAAGTAGGAAACTTGTTGGATATTGATCACACGATGCATGTGACCAAATGCTGTTTGAGATCATAGCTTTGTCACCTATTTTTTTTTTTAAAGGTACATTTATATTCCACAGAAATTACCAAAGCAAGTGCTGAAAAAGCTTGGATTGGAGCAGAGCAAGAGCCGGCACATTCCTCTTCATCTGCATGAGCGACAGTTAACTCTACCAAGACCCGACCAAGAGAACATAGTCGTGTCCTGCCCCCTCCCAAAGTACTTCATGCAAACACTGAAGAGATTACAATTAACATTTCAACATGACGAGGATAATAAATAATCTCCTTTCTCCAGTCTAATCAATGTCAATTAACTGGAAGCTCAAGTTGTGAAAATATGTGACTGTTGTTGCAAGAATAAAAATGATTTAATCACTTACATGGAAAACTACTGTAAATATCAGTAATTATTAGGCACAAAGCATTTAACGCAACTGATGTGTTGATAGCATAAAGTGTAGAGCTATAAAAATGTTTTCATTATAAACCAGATTGCCCCAGTGGGATTAAACGGACCGTTGATATTCTGTAGTAGTCAACAATAGTGGAGCAACAAAGTGATAAATTGTGTTTTAAGATTCATAATACAAAGACAGTTCCATCTGCATTTCCTCTTTAATATCCTACTAAACAAAGACATGAATCATTTATTTGGCAATAGTCTTATGGGTGTTCCAATGGCCAATTTTGACTGGGCGTGGGGGAAGATTACTACAATATATCTTGGTTTTCTAAATAGTTGACATTCTATTTGAAGACCCCACGAGCCAAACGTTGAGGTAAAAAAAAAAAAAGGCACGTTTAGATTTAAACAGACATTTTTTTTAAATTGTAGTCAGAATACAAAAAATGTGAACAATATTCCAAATAATTATTTTGAGTTCCAATTCAACATAGTGAGTTCTTAAAGAGAAGACATGAGAGTAAGATGTTAAAAGATCAAATAACTTTGTATCACGTTAAGACTTCTACAAAAATGTACTACATCTGCTCAAAAGCATCAATATGGACCCAGAGGTCAGACTCGAGTCCCGCACACTTGCAGGTTCAAAGTCCACAGAGCAGAGATCTAACGAAGAAAGTCACTGTTCATCCCATTAGCTGAAAAGTTAGGAGAAAAATCTCTGAAACTTGCAAAAGCATTCTTTATATTCTCCTCAGAAAAAAAGTGATTGTTTCAGAAGGACAGCTTTATCTGATGGCTATTGAGAAGTGTAGTCAGGGTGGGTACTGCATAGTCAGTCTGAAGTTCAGTCAGTGCTCGGTTTAGTTTTCTAGACCGGAGCTAATGATCTCCTGGATCTCTCGGACTACAATAATCCGAGCCAGCGTGACTTCCACTTGCTGACTTGTGAGGGGCTGAGACGAGTACCACATTGGGCTGTTTGGTGCCACCACAGGCTCTGGAGTCATGTAGTAGACGTCATTACGACCTTTGACACTTTGGGGACTGCAAAAGAAGAAGCGAGTTCAACGTGTTCGTAGAGCAAACGGAAAAATAATTAACGATTGAAAGCCACTCACCATTTAAAGAGGTAAAAGTCATAAAGTTTAATGGGACAACGAAGAGGAGTCTCTGGATCTTCAATCTGCTCTACATACATGTCATCAGTTCCTGGAAGAAATGTTGCGTAACAGGTTATAAACTAAGACTTACACTAACTTTAGTGTGAAAGTTGCTGTTTTGAGCACCTTTTTGTCCGGTACTGTGCTGATTTTGGACTTTCAGAAAGCGAATACTGGTTGCCTTGTCCTTAGAATTGGTGGGGTTCTTCCTAGTGTGCCTCAAGACCTTGGAGAAGGCTACTTTCATGTGCTGTTCAGGTGTCATCAGGTGGAAATATCTGGAACAAATATTTGATCCCATTTAATATTTTTAATGAGTGTCACTAAAGAACAAATTCAGATTATCCAATGATGGTTGCTCACTTAGTGTTGAAGTACATAAGAGTTGTAAGCAATGTGGCCGGTGAATGTGCACCAAGCTGTTTACACTCCCACAGCATATCTTCAGTCACATGGCTTGGAATGACATAACCTGACATAGGGAAGGGGTAAAAAAGTGTAACTTATTTATTTTATAAAACTACCTCAAGCTCAAAAAGACTTACCTAAAGGATGGATGCTGGGTTTCCAGTCGTGCAAGATTTTGTGTAAACTCTCGCAAAAACGTGTGTAGTACGGATCAGAGAAAATGTCATCCACACGTCCGTTATCAGACAGATACTACAAAACAAAAACCATAATTTTAAGACGAGACTGTGTCCATTATTCATTTTAAAGCTTTGGGATACAAACCTTCTGTATGCACAAGAACACGTAATACAGAACATCAGACGCCAACTCTTCTTCTTCTGAACCTCGTGCTTCCTGAGTCATAAAGGAAAGACCCAGATTCAGCTCTGCAACAGCACTGGAAACCAAGTCTTCTTGGAAACGCAGAGGCTGACGACCTGAATAAAATCAGGGAGGAACGAGTCCCAATTAATTATGAGTTTAAGGTTTGTTCTTTCTTTTTGAAGAGGGAAAGTCATGCATTAAAAAAAAAAGTTAAGTATGAACAGTTTTACTCACGTCCTATGGGTGCAAGTTTTGTGTTTTCCTGCTGGCTTAGTTCAGCGTTTTTTCGCTTCGCCCAAAGGCGCCACACTTCCAGGCCCTCCTCGGGCTTCAGAGAGATGGGAACTAGAATCTCTGCAGGAGGTTCGCCATCAGCCTCCGTCTCCACTTGGGCCTTCAACCAAAATTTAAAAACGTTACATTGTTTTCTAGCAAAAATTAAACAGAGATGATCAAATCTTACAATTAATTTAGACTATATTAAATTAATAATGTTTTATAAAAGGATACTAGAAAATAGAGCCAAACCAAACAAAGTGAAAAGAAGAAAGTCAGATTATAATTTAGAAACACACAACTTTAGGACTTTCAGAAAGTGAATACTGGTTGCCTTGTCCTTAGAAATGGTTCTAGTGTGCCTCAAGACCTTGGAGACAGACCTTGGAGCTGTAAGGCAAAACTCTCCGTTTACCGGTCAGTCTATGTTCCTACCCTCACCTATGGTCACGAGCTCTGGGTAGTGACCGAAAGAACGAGATCATGGATACAGGCGGTTGAAATGAGTTTCCTCCGCAGAGTTGCTGGACTCTCCCTTAGATAGGGTGAGATGTTCAGTTATTCGGGAGTAGAACCGCTGCTCCTCCACACTAAGAGGAGCCTGTTGAGGTGGTTCGGGCATCTGGTATGGATGCCCCCTGGGCGCCTCCCTAGGGAGGTGCTTCGGGCATGTCCGACTGGGAGGAGACCCAGGGGAAGACCCAGGACACGCTGGAGAGACTATGTCTCATTTGGCCTGGAAACACCTTGGAATCCTCCCAGAAGAGCTGGAAGTGGTGGCTAAGAGACATCTGGGCCTCCCTGCTCAAGCTGCTGCCCCCGCCACCCGACTTCGGAACAAGTGGAAGATAAAGGATGGATGGAAGTTTAGGACTTTCTCTTTTAAGATATATTATAAAAAATAAATGAGTGTGACTGCTAATCATTTGTGAAAGTTCAGGTCTATTATTTAAATAAAATCAACAATATTAAGAATGATAATTCATATAATAAAGGCAACTATGCGTAAAAATTGAAAATCAATAAATATCAACCCTGACAGTAAAGAGAATTGTTTGTAACCTGCAGATGGAGCTGCTGCTCTTGTCCTTCTTGACTCTGCTGACTTGGGTCCCATATGTGTACGGACTGGGTGGTGTTGTAGGTTCCTCCTACAGTCTGCACGGCCACAGGGATGTGAATATTCCCGTTCATGAACTGGGCAGGCAACAGGGTCTGTACGATTTCTTCCTGTGTTGCAGTGGTGGCTGATTGCACATCTGTGGACCTAATTGCAGAACCGGTGGGCAACTTATCTTTGCCATTGGTGGTAGTAACCTGCACTGTGCTATATGCATCCTGTGGTATGGCAATGTGAGTTACACCCTGCTGCTGCGGAGTGGAGTACACAGGGATGGTCCAGGTCTCACCTGTGGGACCAGTGATTGTTCCTGTAGTGCTGTACAGCTGAGCACTGTCAACAGTGAGCAGATCTGGTCGGAGGGACACGTAACTTTGCTGCTGGCCTTGAGGGATCGTCAGGACTGTGGCTACCTGTTGGCCCTGTGGCACAGCATATGAAACAGCGAGGGGTACATCCACCTTGCGCTTCTTAGCTGGTTGGAGAACAGTTGCAACAGCACCGGATCTCCTTTCAGCCTCTCTGAGAGACTCCTGTTGCTGGGAAGGAGACATGGCCTCTATGGTTTGGATCTGGATCTGTTGGCCAGCCTGAAGTTGAATCTGCTGTCCCCCTGGAAGCTGAATATGCTGTGTCCCTTGCAACTGGATATGCTCGCCGCTTGCAAGCTGGATGGGCTGTCCTCCAGCTACAGCTGCAATCAGCTGAGCTTGAATCTGCGAAACCATCGGTACAGTCAAATTAGAAAAGAACATTTTAAGAACAGACTTGATGTTGAGAACAGACACGGTTCCTGCACCTGCTGCTGCTGCTCCTCTGTGAGCTCTCCTTGCTGCACCAACTGGGCTGTTGAGATTCCCTGCAGGCCCTGCTGAGAGGGGGAGGCCACCTGAAGAACCTGCCCAATCGTTTGGCCTTGCTGTTCTTGGATCTGAACCTGACATAATATAGGGGGAGGAGGTCAAGATTTAAAAACTGGCAAATATTTGATTGATTTAAAGACTGTTTGTTTTCTTGCTGACAGTGAGTTATGATAAAAAAAATAAAAATACAAAAACAAATGAGTTACGATGTATTTATAAACCCCAGAACCCAAACTGTTATTGACTTTTACATGTTTAAATTATGTATAATAAGTACCGGTATATACTTACCTGCACTTGAAGTTGCTGCTCAGATCCTTGATGCACAGACATTTGGGGTGAAATCTCTGTTGAGGTCACCTGCACCTGATTAAAAAACATGTTTGTGTAAAGTGGAACAAGACAGCTTCAAAACACGCTATTGAGTAAAAAAAAAACATGCTATAATTTTTTTAATTAAACAAAATGAAAATTTTATTTTTGCCTTTTCCTCTTAGAAAAGTTTTGTAGACCTAATTTGATCTTTTAAGATTCTTAACAGAACAGAAAGTTTGTTACTTACAAGTAAAATACAAATGAAAACAGAAAATATCGGGTGCAAAAGGGACTCTGACTGGAGGGAAGTTTGTATAATCATCTAGTAGAAACTGTAATTTAGGAGTTTGTTTGATAATCGGTACAACAATAACTTACAATATTGCACATCATCTTGTGATGCTACTTATTTATAAAACTAAGTGCATGCCATTCTGCATGGCAAACTAATAAAATAATTTTAAATGACAATTTTTGCGTGAAGTTCTGGGGAAAAGTTATTCTTTTGGAGCACATTTACACTAACCAACCTGTGATAAACCACTATCATAATATTTTGTATGGTTTCTACACAAAACACTGAAAATGGCTGTGCATAAAAGTTAAGCAGTCCTCAACGTTTAGTAGAGCCACAGTCTGTCAGCTACAGGCAAACAAGGGCTTCATTTAAAAAACAACTATACAACATTCAAATTAAAGTTCAGGCCCCAACAAAGTGAACCCCAATCATCCAAGTATTGCCAATGTGAGTTCTGTACCATATTTAGTGAAATTTGCAGCACAGTACACAACACCTGCAAGATCATCAATTTACAACTCCACTAAAAGAGGTCTTACTGGACAGGCCAGCTCCAAGAGAGATCCAGCCACCTCTGTGCTGTCTGTGTAAACACAGTTGGGCCCCTGCTGCTGGTACACCATGGTCGTGGTGGTGGCTACCCCTTCCTGCTGGTTGAACGCCTGCAGCACCTCTGGGCCCTTGGCAAGAGACTCCAGGAACTCCTTCATCTTGTGCTGAGGCACAGTGCGGGCCTTCTGCCGCACATATTCGTCAAAGGAGACCACCCCACCCTCCTGCTCATTCATCGTCACTGGATCTAAATACATAACATTTTCTTTTAAACATCTGTCAACAAGAGTCATTTCAAAGACACATTTACAGTTCAGCATACATGTATCGAGATTTTAAGTAAACAGACTATTGAAGTGCATACAAAGCAGCTTTATACGCCGTGCTTACTAACACATAATTAGGTAAATAAAAATTTAAGCCATGCTTATGGGCGTTAGGGCAAACATTCATAATGTATTTAAACTAAGGCCAACACGCCATAATCAAATGTTATGTTGTCTTGAGTCACTAAATGTCTACATCTGAGTCTAGATGTATACATATTGTTTAAAGGTTTACGGTTTTAAAACCCAATTAGATCATAACAAATTAGATCATCATAATTAGGTCATCGTAACATTTTTACTATCAACAGTAGAAACATAGCTGCTAGTTGTTAGCATGCTAGCGTTATTATGTTAGCAAGGCGCTGTTTAGACGCAGCATATTATAAATGGTTGTCTGGCTGGCAAATGTTTGTTCTAAATAACACTGCATAATACAGATAAATCAGCTACTATAAGTTATACACATAAATGATAAAGTTTGTCCCAAAACAAACATCAAAGCAACCCTCCATTCATTTCAGTTACACGACGCTAGCTAATTGTGCTAAAGCGCTAGCTTGCTAACTCGATGCCTTTAGGATCCTGTCATGCTACCTTAAATAAAACGAAATCCTCTCCTTTCCGCCAAGGCACGGTGTTTAAAACTAAAAAAAAAGCCTGCAAACGTCTAACAGCTACCACCAGCACGCCGTACACTCCGCTACATAGCGCACACGAAGAAGCCGTGAAATCCCCACTCACAACGCAGGAGTTACACCGCGATAGACCAGAACCGCGACGGCCAGCAGGCGAAGTGTCTTCTGACGTCTGCCGATTCTACAGGCTGAGCTCCCAGGCTGCGGTCCGTGGACATGAGTGTCTCCACCTCTATCAAGGCACGGATTCATGGAAATTAATCCCAAAATGCTACCACTTTACACTACTCCACGACCCCTAGAGAAACACTTCACTGTTTATCCGTGGAGCTATAAATTGACGGAAGTACAGGCCCCGACAACACAGCTACTAGCTAGCGGCCTGCCGCGCAGACTGTCCCGATGAGTTCCCAACCTGGAGCCAAAAAACAAGAATGACACTGTAATTTACAGTGTAAAACGAAAATAAAGAACTGATATATAATTACTTTAGTATATACGTACGGGAGATAATTATTGATCCATGTCAAACATGTTTTAGTAAATCTGACAGTAAGTGAAATTATGCGCATTAAAAATATGATGCGCATAATATTTATCCTCCTAGCTACACTGTTTGGACCTGTTTGCTAAATTCTGTGTAAAAACTTTTTTAAGCTTTCTAAAGCTGAATAGTGATCATGAAATTAGGTCCATGTGCTTGACCCTGTTTGATTTACATCACCGCGAATGAGTCCAAACACTTCCACACTAATACATAAACATAAATCCGACTGAGGTATTGTTAAAGCGCTTCCCATTTAGGCTCAAGTGCAGAACAGTGAACGTTTGACTGCGTGTGCCTTTAATAAGATTTAACTTCCCCAGTCTGCCTTAAAGAGCCAGGCATGTGCAGCGGAGGGCGTCCCCCTACTCGCTCCACAACAAACTGCCCCGCGCCTCTCTTAAGGTGGACCGGCGCAGATGAGCTCTCTCTATAGTCTGCGTCCCCTGTAACCTGGATACGAAAGAGTTAATCCGCCGCTCTCGTTGCAGACAGACTGATTTTGCAAAAGCTCTCGCATTCGTTTTATAGTGGTGATTATACTTCTTGTGTTTGTTTTTTATGTAGAACAATTAACACATATGTCATAGAGAAAACTTATGAGCTTCTGTATTTTTTTTATTTTTACTGTACTGTACACATAACTTCTAGTGTCTTTGTTTCATCTCATGCATGCATTATATTATATTATTATATGCATTGTATTGCATTATATTTATATGCATGGTTTTCATAAGCTCGCAAATAGTCGTGAAACAATTTGTTCTTGGCTGTTCCACTTCATGTGACTTTGTGCCACTGTAAGAATCTTAACCAAAAACAACTGACCAGGTGAGGCTTGTAGAACCTGCTGGGATTTAATGAATAAAACAACTTATTTGCATCCATCCATTATCTTTACCTGCTTATTCCATGTTGGGTCACGGGGGTCGCCGGTGCCCATGTCCATCAATCACTGTGCGAGGGGCGGGGTACACCCTGGACAGGTCGCAAGTCCATCACAGGGCCACATAGAGACAAACGAGACAAACAACCATTTACTCTCTCACTCACACCTAGGGACAATTTAGAGTTACCAATCAGCCTAACATGCATGTTTTTGGTCTGTGGGAGGAAACCGGAGCACCCGGAGAAAACCCACGCATGCACGGAGAGAACATGCAAACTCCACCCAGAAAGGCCCCTGGACCGGGGTTTGAACCAAGGACCCGCTGGCTGAGAGGCAGCAGCTCTACCAGTTGCGCCACCGTGCTGCCCAACTTATTTGTATTTTTCATTTTATTTTAAATTTTTAGGGGAGTGGTGGAGCAGAGGTTAGAGAAGGCGAGCCTGTGATCGGAAAGTCACTGGTTCAACTCCCCGAATTTACAACGTCAAAAAAAGTTGGCTGGGAACAGTGAAACACCCACACCTGTCTCTGCCACACTCAGGGCCCTTGAGCAAGGCCCTCAACCCCCACCATCTGCTCCCCCGGGCACCCTAGATGGCAGCTCCCTGCTCCACACAGAGGGTTGTGGTAGCTCGGTGGTCTGTGGTTGAGTCAGGAAGGTCATCCACTGTAAAAACAATTGCCAAGTCTTTGTGCGAGTTAGTTCACTGTGGTGACCCTTGAAGAAGTGAGCAGCCAAAATATATTTTTTCTTTTTCTAGTCCTATATATGATGGCATTTGTCAACAGAGATTGGTTTCCCTAGTGGGTTTAAAAGTCTGCTCTTAGATGCTAAAATGGGAAGTTGCTAAGTAACCATCTGGTGCAGTAAGAAGACTAAGACGTCAGCTTGAAGGGATATATGTCTGTGTTTGCAAGTAAACTCAGTGTGTTCACTGAGGTGTTGCTGTAGCACGAGAGACAAGATGCTTCTATGAAGTTGGACTGAGGCTCATGACACACTGAAGGATTTGCTGGCACAACAGGTACCTTAGAGTTTTGTTTTTAACAAGAATTTTTATTGCTATATGCACAAGAAAATTATTAGGTTTATTGTGATGTTATAAAAAAAAACATGGTTTAGTTACAATTTGTTTGAGTGAATCACAACGTCTTAGTCTTGACAGCTAAACTATCAGAAAAAAATTTAATGTTTGGATGTTCAATATTTTCCAATTTGTGTTTTAAGTATTGTCAAAGTTGATCAGTTAAACTCACCCAATATTGCACTTTAAAGTCACGATATGTCACTCTGATAATAAATAGATTAATTACTGTGTTGCATTATCAGCTTAAGTGACAGAAGTTATGTTTTATTTGTGTGCCATGTCTTTTGCCTACAATGAAACCTCACATTTATCAAAATGCACAGATAGATGCAAATAGGATCATTCTGAAAATCTGCTATTTATGCCCTTTTGAAGTGCATTTTTATTAGAATACATCATCACAGATGTAAAACGTGCACACCTTCTGGATTAAATAGGATTAAACAGGATTAAAGCACAGGCAATCTGTGTGACTCTTGAGCATGGTTTAACCTCCAAAGTCTTTCTGTTGTCAACACTTTAGTCAAAGGCCTAGCACAACCTTTGCTAGCTGTCATTTTATAATGTATGTAACTGTTTTTGTACAGTGCCCTGAGATGACGTTTGTTGTGAAGTGGCACCATATACAGTAAATCAACTGAAGTGATTTATACTGAATGCATAGCCTGTGGTTCATGAGATATTTTGCTAACAGACACTAAACACATAAAGAGGCATGAGCAAAAACATATTCACTTTGCCTTTACCTATTTATTGGTGACAGGAAATAATTATCCAAAATTGTTTTAAAAAAATACTACATCCTGTTGACACATTTTTATAGTTAATATTAATGTAACCGTTCTGGCCATCATATAAATTCAATGGGTGACAAAATACAAAATGTTAAAAAAGTTATTTGAAGTCAAAGTCTGGTTTCAGCTTTCTGAGTTGTTATTTTTGCCTCATTCCATCACTGTGTTAAGTTGAACCCTAGTAATAAAAAGGTAAAAATAAAAAACAGTTTTTTGGTCATATTAAGCGATAACAATGTTATTTTGTTTTGTGAAGGATTTCAGCATATTTTTATGTTTATTGAGCATGGACTGATGTTTTGAACCACTTTGGCTATGACTGCCCCAGAGGAATTGACAGGGGAGAGGGCGGGCCCCAGAAACCATCTTATCACCAGCAAACTGGTTGACCCACTATGTGAGTGCTGCTTGTGGGATTGGGTTTGTTTGTGGCTCCTTGGACTGATGAAGTCCTTTGGATGAAGGACGAAACATCTCAATAAAAAAAGAAAAGAAAAAAGAAACTGTCCAGATGACCTGATTGAACTTTGTTGAATTTTTTTAACCTGGATTATTGAGCATGAATTTTGATGTTTTGAATCACTTTGGCTTTGGCTGCCTCAGAGGAGTCAATGGGAGGAGGTGGCGGGCCACAGAAACCATCTTATCACCAGCAAACTGATTGGTCAACTGTGTGAGTGTGCTGCTTGTGGGACTGAGCTTGTTGTGGCTCCTTGGACTGAAGAAGTCCTTTAGATTAAGGACGAAACAACAACAAAAAAACGTCCAGACGACCTGACTGAACTTTGTTGAGTTTCAACATTTTCTTCAGTATAAACCCATAGGCTGCATGGTTTTTGTACAAATCAACAAAAACGTTATAAAAACTAATCTCTTTTTCTTGTTTTTTTCAGGTTTTGTGTTTTAAATAACAAAAAATGGGGCGTGCAGCTGTACTTTGTGTCACGTTGATTGCATCTTTCTGCTCACGTGGAAGCCTTTTTCAAACTCCACATTCACTGGGCACCTTTAATTCATTTAGGACATCTCAAAGTCGGAATAGAAACATTAATGATGTGAACGATGTAACCAGAGAAGCCAACTTTCACTCTGAGAGCTTTGAGGAAGGCAGCGGATACGTTGCTGGCAACGTGAAGTCACCACAACTCGGCACTGAGAGCGCCATCCTAAAGGAGTCTGAGCAACAACATTCTGGATCTGGAATCCTATTGAGGAAAAGACCAGCTCATAGTGTTCACTCCTCAGAGGGTCACAGTCCAGGAGCTGACACGGCAGATTCATTTACAGGAGACTCTCACACCTCTGGGCTCTCAGAGGAAACTGATTTGGATAACAGCCACTTAACCGACAAACAATTGCAAGGGAGTCACTCATCCTCCTCTCTAACTGGTGAGTAAACTTTATTTAAAAAAATAATACAGGCTATAATTCGTAACAGCACAAAAACTATTGGCTACTGACTAATTGATCTCATTGGGGTTTTCTTGATTAAATAAGTCAATAAATTAATACAATTTTCATATTTAAACACAGTAAACATGATGGGCCAGTTATAACACTACTATTAATTATACAGTAAAATATGGTGCAAAATGTATTAATGTACTAGACAAAAACAACTGGACTTCTATTCTGTAGCTGAAGATGTTTTGCTTCTCCTCTGAGAAGCTTTCTCAATTCAAAGAAGTGTGAGATTCGAGTTATAAAGCTGAGGTAAGATATATACATACATACATACATACATACATATGCAGACTGACCTATCACACCTCACAGTAGGGGTTTGTTAAGGTCTTTGTTAATCTAATTCACGGATGGGCCACTCTGGTCACATGGATGACATTCCAGTACATTTCATCCCAACAGGACACAGACAGAGGCTGGTCCACCCTCAGGACAAAACACCCACACGAAAACAGAGTGGTGTGGTGTGGTGTATGCAGTTCAGTGCAAC